AATTTATACTTATATTATATTAAATATAATTTAGTAACTTTAAGTATATATAATTTAAGTTATATAAAAGCCTTTTATATATTTTATTAATAGTAATAGTAGAAGTATTTTATTTAAAATAATATAGTAATATTTATAATATATAATATAAATAATTTAATAAAGTAAAAATATTTACTATAAACATAATTAAAGTTATAATTATTTATTAAATTAAATTTAAAATATTTTAATATAGATATATATATTTAATATTAATAATAAAATAAAAATTACTTTTAATATAGTTATATTTATTATATATCTTATATTTATAAAAAATATTAAAAACGTTTAATAAAAGAATATTTAAAACATTAATATAAACATTAAAGTTTAATTTTAATAAAAATAAATTAGTTAATATATTAGTTATTAATTTAATAGAAGAAAAATTATAAGTATCTTTATTTCTATATAATAAAGAAAGTTTTTATATTATTTTATTTTATTATATTACTTTATCTATTATATTTTAAAAGAGAATTATTAGTTTAATTATATCTTAAATATAAAATAGAAAAGTATTAATATATTAATTATATAAAATATTATAGTTTTAATAAAAGTTAATATAAATAATAATTTAAAAGAATATATTATATTATTTAATTTAAAGTAAATACTTACTTTATTAATATATAATATATTTAATATAAAATAAAATATTATTATAATATAAAATAAAATATTAATTATATTTAATAGTAAAGTAAATTATAATATTAATATTTAAAAATATTTTAAAATACTTTATATAAATATTATTTTTAATATAAATATTAAAGTTAAAATACTTTTATTATAAGTTATTATTATAATAAAAATTAATTAAATAAAGGAATACTTAATTTATTAAATATAAAGTATAAATTTAATTAAAGTTATTATTAAATTTAATATTAAGTTAAATATCTTTTATATTTAATTCCTTAAAGTTAATAAAAATATTATATAATTTATATTAATTAAAAGTATTATTATTTATTAAAAGGATATTATATAAATTAATATCCTTCTTTATTATATATAAAATATCTTTTAATAAAAATTATTTTATAAAAATATACCTTTATAATTATTATAACTTTTATAGTTACTATAACTACTATAATTATTAAATCTAATATTTTAATTACTATAAAAGTTTTATTAAAAATTACTATAAAAGTTACCTTTACCGTAAAATTCATTATAATATTCACCGTGAAAATTATTACTATTATATTTTTAATTTATAAAATACTAATCTTCCTTATTAAGTTTAATTTTATTTATAATAAATATATAATTTATAAATTATTATAATTAGTAAACATAATAAAATATATAAATTAAAGTATAAAGCTTTAATTAATATTAAAAGTTTATAAAATATTATAATAAACTTTAATATACATAACTATATATAAAACGTTATTTTAATAAGTTAATTATTATAATAATTAAAAGCTTAATAATATATATTTAGTTTATTAATTAATAATTATAATACTTTAACCTTTAATTTATTAAAACTTTTTAATATAATTTAATAAAAGTTAATATATTTTAATTAATAAAATAGTTTTAATAAATAGTATTATTATTAAAATATAATTATATTTTAAAGTAAGCTATTTAAAATAAATTAATTTATTTAATATTATATAAATAAAACGTTTTAATAATACTTTTAATATATATAAAAGTTATATAAAACTATATTAATTAAATATTTAAGTTCTTATATATATTAAGAAAGATAAAACTTTATTATTAAATATATTATAGGTTTAATTAAAATATATTTTATTATTATAATAATACTTACTAATATTAACTATTATATTTAATTTAAATAGCTTATTAAAATATTCTATTAATAGTAAAGTATAATATATTATTAAATCTATATTTTAAAAGTATCCTTAAAATAATTATTCTATTAAAAGATAAAACTTTATTATTAAATATATTATAAGCTTAATTAAAGTATATCTTATTATTATAGTAATACTTATTAATATTAGTTATTATATTTAGTTTAAGTAGTTTATTAAGATATTCTATTAATAGTAAAGTATAATATATTATTAAATCCTATATTTTAAAAGTATTTTTAAAATAGTTATTTTAAAGAATTTAAAATTAAAAGATAATAAAAATAAAAATAAAAATCTATTAAATAAATCTTTTAAAGCTTTTATTTTCTCTATTAAATTTATAATATAACTTATTTTTATATTTATCCTTCCTCTTTTATTATTCTTCTTATCCTTCTTTTATATTTATTATTATTAGATTTTAAATTACTATTTAGGTTATTATTCTTATATTATAATAATTTTATTTTATACTTATTTTAAATTATATCCTTATACTTTTATTCTTTATAAATATTTCTCTTTCTTTATTTTTATTCTTCCTCTTTAAATCTTTAATAATAATAATTTTATTTTTAAATTTAAAAGTTATATTTTTAAATTAAATTATAATAAAATATAATCTTTATTAATTTATAACTTTTTAAACTTATTATAAAACTATTTTAATATTTTTACCTTTAAAATAAAGAATAATATAAGTAAATTCTAATAAATCTTTAATTTAATTTATATACTTTTATTATAAAGGGTTATTTTTAATTTTAAAAAATCCTTATTAATAATATTAAATATCTTATTATTTTATTTTTAAAGTTTTTTATAAATTTCTTATATACTTCCTTAATATTAAGATACTTATATATTTATAGATATTACTTATATATTAAGATATACTATAGTAATCTTTTTATAATTTAATAGGTTTATTTTTTAATACTTAGAATTAATAATATATATATAGGCTGTTTAGAGATATATATTGTTATGGATTTTATTAAATAATAATATTAAATAAACTAAAAATTTTAGTAAATTGAAAAAAGCTATATTAAGTAATTATTAAAATAATAAGGGTAGTAATTATAAAGGAATGGGTGTATTAGTAAAACTATATTATTTTAAAAATAAAATAGTTAATCTTAAAATATAATAAGTTTTATTAATAAAATATAAAAGGATTATTTATTATAATATTAATTTAAAAGTATATATAAATATATTAAAAGATTTATTAATTAAAATAAATAAAAGTCTAACACTTAATAAAGTTAACTTATAAAGTTTAAGGTATTACTAGAATATAGAGAAGGGTTTAGTAATAGAGTAAATGAAGAAGTTTAAAGTTTTAGTGAAGTTCTTATTTATATAAAGTATAATAGATATTTATAGGAGGTAATTCTAAATAGTAATGTTAAACTAAATACTGAATGTTTAAAAAGTTACCTAGGTGTTATATCTAGTAATTATTGAAATATTTATAAAAGAGTTAGTTCTTTTAAATAGATTATATAACTTTATTTTATTAGCTAAAGGTAGTTATATTAAATAAGTTATATAAGTTAAATAGGATCTAATAGCCTTAATATAGTTATTTTTTAAATTATTTAATTATAAAATAATAAACTATTTTATTAACCTAACTATTTATAGTTACCCTTATAATTATTAATTAGTGTTAGTTGGGCTTATATATATAAGGGTAGAAGAAGTAGTGTTAAATGTAGTTAATTATTAGTGACTAACTATTAAAGGGTTACCTAAAGGGCTTATATAGGTAAATACCTTCCTTACTAATTAAGCTTAATAAAGGATTATTATAACTATTATAATTTTAATAATATTATTAATATTATAAAGTTATATAATAAAATTAAATTTTAAAATAATTATTATATAAATAAATTATATTAAAAGTTTAATTAAAAATTATTTTTATATATATATATTTTAAAATAAACTTTTATTTAATAAATATTATAACTTTTATTTAAATATATAATTAATTTTAAAAGAATTTAAAATAAAAATATTTATAATATATTAACTTTAAAACTTTTATAATAAAATATTAAAACTTTTAAAAGAAATTAAAAGTAATTTATAAAAAATAAAAAATAAAAATAAATTTATTCTTTTAAGTTTATATTTTCTTATTAATAATTATTAATTTTTAATAATATAAAAATATATAATAAAAATAAAAGAAAGATTTAAAATTTATTTATAAAATAATTATAAAATATATATTAAGTTATTAAAAACTTTATATATAAACTTTAAACTATTAAAGAAGAAATAAATAGTTAAATTAAAAGATAATAATGTAATATAAAGGAAAAATATAGTATAATTAAAGCTATAAATTTATATATATTATTTATTTTATTAACTTAAATAATCTCTATACCTCTTATAATATAAAATTATAACTTCATTACTTCCTCTATATTATTCCTTAAGTAACTTTAGTTTTAAATAAATAATTTTTTATAAATAATGTAAGCTTTCTTTTATGTGGTATGCGGTAAAGTTTATGGTGTGGTGGCGGCTAAACTTCTATTACGGTACTTGAGGAGACCTAACTTAGCTTGGATCACATACTAGCCGCTCATACGGAAGAATTGAGTGACGCCCTGCATTCTCGCTACCATATAGTTAAAGTCGAACAGTCCTACGGCAAGCAGCTCATTGCGCGGATACAGAGGGTTGAACCTTACCAGGGACAGTGTCTTTTATTTGTGTGGCTCTTGGTTGTTTCTCTTGTGCAACAATCAACTCATAACCTCGAGTGGGCCTACCAACGCCGTGACATCCGGTAACCGTGCATGCAGACGAGGAACAACACTTTGGAATCATTTCGAGCCACATATAGGTTATGACCATAATCGAGGTCCATCGAAAACTGTTCCCGTTTTCTGCAATATGCCTGCGCTCGGTGGTGAATTGGTCCTGGTTGGAGCGGGCGAGCACAAGTCTTACAACACAGGCATTAATGCGGGCTACTCGTTTCGGACTTGGTATAATGATTTATTTGGCCTGCACGCATCTATTTCGATCGGTTGGGAACGGACAAAGGCTGGGCCGAACGAAGGCTTAGAGAGACGGCGTGTCTGCAAAGACATTGAGGAGGCCCTCAGGAGTCCGAGCTCCCCCGACGCCTGCCTCGTCCACCTTGCGTCTGATCTCCCTCTCCTCCTCATCTGTGATCTGAACTCGGGCCGCACCAATGTTCTCCTCCAGGTACTTGATCCTCTTTGTGCCGGGGATAGGAATGATATCGTCGCCTTGCTTCATCAGCCACGCAAGTGCAAGCTGGCCGGGTGTGGCATCCTTCGTCTTGGCAATTTCGGCTATCTTGTCAACGATTGCCAGGTTCTTTGGGAAGTTTTGCTCGTTGTAACGTTCAAACATGCGGCGACAGTCATCTTCGGGAAAGTCTTTCGTGGACCTGATCTGACCGGTCAAGATGCCCCGCCCAAGCGGCGAATAGGCCACAGTGGCGACGCCAAGCTCGCGGCAGGTGGAAAGAAGGTTTGTTCCGTCATCATTCTCGATTGCCAAGTCCCACGGGTTGTATTCAACCTGCACGACTGAGATCGGGTGAACCGCATGGGCTCGACGCAGGGAAGTGGAGCTGCATTCCGAGATGCCGAAATGCTTGATCTTGCCCTCGCTCTTCAACTTGATCATCTCCTGAATTGTTTTCTCGATTGGAGTCTTCTCGTCAAGTCGGTGTATGTAGTATAGGTCGATGCAGTCGATCCCCAACTTTTGCAGGCTTTGTTCGCAAGCTTGTCGGCAGTATTCCGGAGTGCTGTCTATACCGAGACCATCGGCAGACACCCTGATGCCGAACTTGGTGGCTAGGAAGATGTCGCCTCGTCTTTCGGGGTGCAACTTGAACCATTTCCCAATCAGCACCTCGCTGTCGCCGTAGAGGTCAGACGTATCCCAAAAGGTACAGCCGAGCTCCCAAGCACGGTCAAGAACCGCAAAACGTTCCTCGTCGGCCCTGGGAAACATTAGCAAAGTCGCTGTAGTCCTAGCCAGGGATGAGGAAGCGAAAGCGAATATCCATGTCTCAGATAAAGGATTTGCTCACCCTGCAGCCCCATAGGCGGCACCGCCAATGCCCATTAGACCGAAGCCAATGGCCGAGACCTCTGGCCCATCTCTTCCAAGACGTCTCGTAGGGAATTTGGCGGACATGACTTGTCAGTGGTGCGTAATCACGGCTTGAGGGCAGGTTGTGTTGAGATTGTAGAGTATGATGGGTACAATGTTTTACAGGGGCTGCGACTGGATTTAGATTGCTCGAAGTGCCCACGGAGGCTGTTCTCTTATACTTTTTGACCTTCGTGAGAGTTTCCCGACACCGGACTAAGGACGCGGACGACTCGGATGCGGCCGCATCGTCCGCATCGTCCGCATCGTCCGCACAACAGTGGGGGTTGTGGTCCCATGTTCCCTGCCCGTTTTACAGGGGCTGCGACTGGATTTGGTTTGTCCGAAGTGCTCACGGAAGCTGTTCTCTTATACTTGTTGACCTTCACCCAGAGTTGCGCGGTACCGGACTTGGGATGCGGACGATGCGGCCGCATCGGCGGCCGTATCGTCCGCACAACAGTGTAGGTTGTGGTCCCGCATGTTCCCTGCCCAGTAATAAGCGGGATGGAGAATTCTACACTCCCCTGCAAGACTGAGGACTTGCTCGTCTTAAAATGGAAAGGTTAGTTCGACTTTAATTTCTATAACCTTAAAACTATTTATTAGTACTTTTCTCCTCTTCTTTTTTATATTTTAAAACCTTAATTACTAACTTTAACTTTAATTATTAATTTTAATATTAATTATAAAAGTTTTACTTTTAAATTATTATTAAAAGGGACTTTTTAAACCTTTTAATAAAAAAAGGTTAAGGTACTTTAAAGTATTTAAGAGGTTTGGTATTTAAGGTTATAGTTAGGTGGGGCCGGCTAGGTTTCTTTTGGTGTAGTGAGCCCTCAGTCTTGCAGGGGAGTGCAGAATTCTCCATCCCGAGTAATAAGTGAGACGGTCCTCGCGACCTATGGTCGAGCTTGGGCCATTTGGTATGGCTGAACTTGTTGGTGATCATTCCTGCTCCACTTGGCAGGGTCTCGACTTCACCATGGACTGCTCGCTGATGGGATTCTGCTCGCCCTCAATTCTTTGTTCTTCACGACTTCGTATTCGCTTCAGCATGGCGTCTCGTGCTATATTCAGACGAGATGTCAATTCTGACCCAACAGGAGCTTTGCGCTTGCATATCAGGATGTGAATTGGTTCTTGTATATGCAGGCCTGCTGACAGGGTGCCACAGTGGTGCGGCTCTGCTGATGCGGCTTCTTTTCCGCATTTAGCCAGTGCTGTCCCAAAGAAGGAAAGATTATCGATCTCGGGAGGGGTGTGCGATCCTTGAGGTATACCCCATGAACACGATATCAACCGCGGCATAATTTACTTCTTGTCAATCATTCTGCTCTTTCACACCGACTTGCAATCATAATGGTCTCCTGGTACGCGCACTGGTTGCTCTTTGGGAGCTCTTCACCTGTCCGAGCTGTGACCGATCGATGATTGAGCCAAGAACGGCACTTGGCCGTCCTGTTCTCCCTCACAAATGACTGCTATATTGCAGTTGAATATAGGCCCACGGTCAGTCTCATGCTTCCCGCGGTACAGTCCGAAACCTGAGGTTCAGGAACTCGCCATTAGATCACGCCGTTCCAAGGGGTAAGGCCGCTTTGCAGCGCGCTACTGGGAATATAATATCCCTAACAGCAAAAGCACCCTATTCTTTTGGGAGGAGGAAGGCTATGAACACGCCGATTTGTAGATGTGTGTTTAAATGAGTGACTCTGCTGTCCACAGTCCATGTGCCATTGCATTCCCTTTCGCAGCATTTCAAATGTCGGTTGTCATTCAGTCTCAGCCCAGATCAGATGTCCTCTCTTCATTGTGAGCCTCTTTTGGATTTGCCGCATCTTGAGGTTCCAAGGGTTGTCATCCGAACCTCTCGTCGCACCCATACCGTGCGTTGGTGGGTACTAAAGACGATCACTATAACTAATCCCTAAATAGGAAATCCCTTTTTTATAAGATTAACTTTAAGTATATTTAGAGAGGAGAGAATATTAACTTTTAAATAGTTAAATAATATCTTAATATACTCTTAATAATAAAAGACTTAAAGAAAAAAAGTAATTATTAAAAAAAGAAATAGACTTATAAAAAGACTTATAGAAGGGAGAAGGGTTATAAACTTTAAAGGTACCTTCCCCTATATAAAGAGTAGAGGAATACTTCCCTTTTTTCTTCCCCTTTCTTCCTTCCTTCCTTTCTTCCTTTAACTTTAATACTAACTTCTCTACCTTCCTCCTTTAAGTTAATTAATTAGAATTAACTATATTTAAAGATTTAAAAGTAAGACTATTAAAAGTAAATTAATAGAAGTTAAGAACTTAAAAAAACCTAATAAAAAAGGAAAAAAAGGGAATCTTTTTTAGCTAACTAATATACCTAAGTAGGAGACCTACCCCTAGGGATTTAAGAGAGAGTTACTTAAAAGAAAGGAACCTCCCTAATAAGTTTATATTTAGCTTAAAATTTAATTCCTCTTAATAACTACTTTCAAACTTTAAGATACCCTTATAATTCCTAAAGAATTATTTAGATTTAATAATATAGACTATTATAATCGTTAAATTAAAATAAATATTATAATAATAGCCTTAAAGAGAGAGAAGTAGTATAGTAATTAAGAGGTAGTTAGAGGTATATAGGTACTTAAGTAGTTATAGTGACTATCTCTAGTACCCACTAACGCACGGTATGGACCATCTCGACAGCAGCCGGAGCATCCTGGTCGGGCTGCAAGGCTCACCGGCATGAATGGGATTGAATACATCAACTCTGTGGTTCTCATTACCACGCTGTCTCACCGGCATCGCGCTCATATTTGTGTCGGTGCGGGCAGCACTTCAGGTGTTCAAGTATTGTGGCATGTGGTGGGATTGTTATACATTGATCACTTCTTGGGTTGGTTTCTCCAGCACCACCTCATGTTTCGGATTCGGCCAGCAGAAATTGAGCAGAGGGATCTAACCCCAACTTCGGCAGATCTTATTGTTGGTCGGGACCGTACTGACCAATTCGACTGTTGACCCTAATTTCGACGGTTTCAATGCTAGGTCACAGTTGCCTCAGGATCCAGAAGGGTTGTACGCAGGACTCGCTGTTTGTCATGAGCTCAGCTGCTCTTTCAAAAAACATCCTATGGCTTGACTATTTTGCGCCTAATCGATTATCAGAAAGCCGATTTCCAAAGTCGCAAAATATGGTGGATTATTCTGTTGGTTCTGATCAGTGTCAACATCACGACTTGGCCCGGTGCTCTTTTCCCGTTTGTCGAATGCCTCATCAGCGCTTCCTCAGAGCCAAGGCAATTCTGGACTTCGCAGACAAATGTCATTATCGGCGTTGCTGGAAGTGGATGTTCCGGCGCAACTGACCTACTTCTGGCCCTTTCGCCATTTGCCATCATCTAGAAGCACACCATGCCGCGATTGAGCAGGCCCTTGGCCATATTTTCCTCGATAATGGGTGCCCTTGCCGCAGTTGCTGCTTTCACTCAGTGCAGTCAGATAATGAGGAACGATACCACCGCATTATTATCTTGTGAGTAGACCCCGACTCCGACCCATCCTGCACGCCTGCAGGCATCTTCCCGTGCACATGTGATTTTGGACCAGTAGGACTCTGATACAATCTATTTAGCTGTTGGGTTTGTCTTCATGGTTTTGAGCTTCGCAGAGTCAACATTTCCATAGCCATGGCGGCTTCAGCACCTCCACATGGGGCGGTCGACCATGCATCCACTCGATCATCGGTTAGTCGGACGAGCCAAGCACCAAGCAGGGCTTCAACCGCATTCTGGCATGACAGGGCAAGGGCAGAAGACATGGCGAGTTTCAATAATACGTACCACAGGCCACAGTCCAATATCGCCCACCGCGTGGTAGTTCCGCCCGTGTCCACATATGATCGACAACAGAAGAAGCCAACAAGCGGCCTGCCACGCGTACCGTACGGTCAGGTGGTTCAAGTTCCCGCCCCCAGCCGCGCCCAGAGACTCCGAAACCAGCCACTTCGGACACACTTGGAGTACGATTTCCTCCGCATTGAATGACTTCGAGTCGTTACGGGCGCATCGACGTATGGAAGCCGGCATGTACCGTCCTGTCCGACCTTACACACTGAGCACTTGGAGCAGTCGGACGACGGATGATGATTCCGGCTCCATGTTTACTACGATGGATGGGAACCACATTATCGACCGTCTGAGTGATATTGTTGAAGAATCATGGAGAAATAGGAGCATACTGGAGACGCCTGAGCCTGCGGGTCTAATCTACACCACAGAGACGAGACATCCTTCACATAGAGCAGTCCAAAATAACTGGGACATAGAAAATGGATCCATGCTTTAACTGGTTTTGCTCCGCATACGTCCGAAGACATACGTGATCCATGCTTTAAAAGAACTTTTGGCCTACACAACTGAATCTGCTTGGCAGAAGCGGCGCGCTTACGAGTCAGGTCTGCCATTGTTTACTTAGACATCCAACTTCCTGAGTAGAAGCCGCCGGTGTGGGCCATGCAGATACTTTAGAGGCTTTGCCTCCACGTTGGCACTCTCCGCCTGCATTATTGCCGAAAATCGGCTACTTTGGCTATTTGAAACGAGTCGAAAATGCAGTTTGAGACCTTGTGATTTAGGTCTCTCCTGGGTGGCCGTGTAATACGAGTACCTTTCAAATCTTTCTGAAGACTTTCCAATAGGATAGTATTTTGCAGAGTGAGTAGTTTCTTTCCAGACATTACCCTTATAGGAGGTTGTCTGGGGTTTGGGGTGTTGCAGAGGACGCCCGCCCACGGGGGGCTAAGAGATGGATGATGTGGTCGCATAGGGGACCCCGGGCAGCGCAACACTGTGGGCTCACGGTACCCATCTAGATCCATAGACTCAGAAGGTACAGGCGTGCATCATATCGTATTTCACGGGGGAGTAGACCTTTTACAGACATGGGGTTCTTACCATGCAGCAAGTTGCACATGTGCTTCGTACGGCTACGTCCAAAATGCCCTTTCTAGTTACCTAGCTAAGTTGGTAGACTCCAGATGTCACACAGACGAAGGTACCGTAAGGGCTGGATCAAGACCGAGGTGAACAGCCCCGAGATCAACACAACCCAAATCCGCTCGGCACGGGGACCCGAGCCTTGCCAAGATCGACATGGAAGACTTGGGGAGACAGGGAGGATAATACCACAGCAGCGTGTGGAGTGTAACCCCAGATCTTGACAGTGTCGATCAAGAGATGCAGAAGCAATGCCCGAAAGCTGCCCTTGAACGCAATCCTACTCAAGTACCAAGTGGCCCCTGCCGTTTTACGACAGGCGGCCGTACCTCTGGCATGGCACACAGAATCGCGTGAGTGATCGGGCATGGACGCTATGCCGGGCTCTCGGCAGTGTTTACGAACAAGCAATGCCGGGGCATAAGTTCTGGTGACAGCATGTGAGTCTGACATGGAACAGGCACAGTATCCGGTCCACCGGCCTCAAGTTACCTAGGTACACTCCGAGTCTCACCTGGGCGACCGAAGGCCGCCCGTCTCGTCTCTCTCTCTATCTATCTACTAGTCACCCAGTCACCCCTCCCAGGATGCCGCCGCCCGTGTCGGCCAGGAGACGGGACTGTGCATTTCGGCCTTAGCCAGGCCTTCTGGTCCGGCGGATCTTCCACGGCGATGTGCGTGTGGGTGGAATGCGTTCTTTGACTGTTCCACTCGTTTCGGACTTTCACAGCAACCGCAACCCAGCGGGAGCATGCAGCGACGATCATATGCGCGGATCTGTTGTCGTGATCGCGATCCCTGACTTGACCCTGAAAATGGTGGAGGAGAATAAGCCCTCGGGAGATGTTCGGGAGTGACAGGAGCACATACTTGCACGCCGCCCCTTTCCGTTTATTCCGCAGCTAGCTTTCGTCTTCTTTCAGGGTGCACGCACGAGTTCCCAAGAACGGAATCGGAGCGCTTCGGGGTTGATGGTCGGGAGGGGGAGGTGGGACAAGATCGGGCCCACGGTGAAACCGCCACGGCGGCGGGTTGCATCACGGGGCCAGTCACCGCCATGACCGGCTTCGAGAACTTTGCGCCAGTTGCTCGGTGTTTGGCCCATCTTCTTGTTCCACCCTGTGGGTATGCGTTGGAAGCGTGCGCAGGGCATCACCGCTCTAAACCAAGGCAGAGACCAACTGCACTTCCGGTTGCGCCGCCGCATCTAATTAGTTGTTGCATGTCTGAGGTTTTGGTGCCGCCTACACTTTGCCCATGTCTATCTTGGTGTTCTTCAAAAGCTCATTCTGGGCTTGAAGTGCCTTTGACTTGGACGATGTTCCATTGGAGGGTAATTCGCAGGAGGTTCCTCCCGATAAGGCTAGGCGGTCATCCCATAAGAGGCATTCTTCTTATATGAGGTTACTTTACTGTATATCATCTCTCACCAGTATGAGATTATCCTAGAGGAGGCCTAGAGATGTTGGCTAGGAGGGTAGGAGGTAGGTGGGAGGTTGAGAGACCCACTGGAGGTTCCCTATAACGGAAGATAGAATCCATGGATACTGTCTGTGGTCGTATCTCACAGTATTACAGGTACAGTTGCCTTGCGATGGTAATACCCGTCCCAAGCCTCTAGCCCCGAGTCTAAGAACAATAGGGTGTCCACCATGAAGGCTCCCTGACCCATCATGGTGGTAGGGATGGCAGCTAGGCGAGTCGGCCAGGTCAGGCAATTATTAGGGGCTATGTATGGCCAGGCATGGAACCAAAGGTAACCCAGCCCCGCACCCGGCTTGTCTGACGGGCTGCAGTGGTCACCACCGTCGGGCGGCCCACGATACTCCGTCCTAGTGCAGCACACAGCCGTCCGCCCGTGACGCTTCGATGCTGTCCGGCTGACTGGCTGCCTGGCTGACTGGCTGCCTGGCTGACTATCATAGGGAACGCCGCCGTGTTTCCAACTTTAGAACATGTCCCGGCTGGGGGATATACCTTCCCTCGACAGTCCCATTTGCCCAACTCGGGCATTCTTGATACACGAAGAAGCGATTGGGCAGCCACTGTGATGACAATATATCTATCTACTAATATCTGCATGTTGTTAGTTACTGCGTGAACAAAAGAAAACGCCATCTGGAGATTGACTGATCCACCTGTCCGTCACGCTCACCACCCACCCTGCCACCCCAAGACAAAAGCCAACGGGGGCGGAGTGGCCGACCAGTGGGCTTTTCGACCTACCTGCCGGTACCCGCCGACCACCACCACCACCGTGACTTGCGTTCTCCTGTCAGCCTGACTTCGCCTACCTTGCTACCAGCCCAGGTGAATAGTGTATACCTACCTACCTATCTACCTAGGAAGACAGACAGACATACGATCGTAATCTCATATTGAGCCCGCAGCAAGGAAAATCCCAATACTACGCACCTCCTCTCATCTCTGCCTTCTATCTGTTAGTCTACCTAGTAATAACCCCCACGCACGCCCACACGCACGCACGCCCAAAGATGCAAGATGCCCAAGCCCCAGGCGCGCGCCACGTGTTTCAACAACAGACATCCCACCTAGCGCACCCACCACCGCTTACCTAGGTACCTAGGTAGGTACGGGCCGGTCCTCTGCAGCCTTTCCCTTTCCCACCCTCCCATTTCTCCCATTCCCTTTTCTCTCTTTTGGCTTTGGGTCCGCCCCTCAAGTCATCCTGCAAGCCCACTACTACTACTACTATTACTACTGCCCGCCACACCCGCCCGTTGGCTGCCAGTGGCTACTAAAAAGGACACATACGAGTCCGAGAGGCAAGGCAATGGGGGACGCCCTCGTCTCTTCCTGCCCCTCTGGGGTTTTCCCTCCAAGCCAAGCCCCCTTTGAGTCCCCAGTCCAGTCGTGCGCAATCTTGGTGTGTGATCCTACCAGCCAGCAGGCCAGTCGCTGGCTGGCTGGCTGGCTGGCTGGCTGGCTGCGTGCGTGTGCGTGCGTGTGTGCGTGACCCTCAACACCTAGGCCACGCGGTGCCTGTCTTGTCTCAGCAGCATGGGGCGCATTGCAGCCCAACCCAACGACAACCCACGGATGAATGAATGACTGAACGGCGGTGACCACCGACGAAAGACGCCTGTCCAGCGTCCAGTGCCACGGATGGAAGGGAAGCCACAGGTGGTGCGTGACCCGCGGCCCAGGACAGCAGCAGCACTATCAATGCCAGTGTCCCTCCACATATCCCCTGTCTTAGGTATATCTCACGCCCATCTTCAATGCCCCAGGGCTGGTACATGCAGTCTAGTTACTGGGAGCAGCCAGTAGTGAGTACCCATCATGAATTTGGCATCTTGATTGGTGGTTCATTTACAGATCAGAATATGTGCATCGCAAGAGACACCTTTGGGTTCCGCACCACGAGGCATCGTCCTGCTTTGGGCCCAAGTAATATCACACACACCTTCCATCCGTTTTCATGCAGTGCTGTACCGGGTCGGTCGGGGAGAGCCCTTCCCCCCGCCGTCTGACAACTCGACCCCATTCCTTGTGCGCCATGGCCCCCGTCTTTTCATTACATGTTCCTCCCGTGGAACTTTTTGTGTACCCGCCACACCGTCTATCCCATGGACCGTTCGTGCCGTACTCCACGCCCGACAATAAAAGAAACTGCTGCGTACATGTGATGTACAACGTACTAGTAGGAAGCTGCCGTTGCCCCTCTCTTCACCGTGACTCCTGGTGTGTATGTATGTATATATATACGGGTAGTGAGTGGGACGCGTGTGCGTTCACCAACTAGCCGGGACATGCCGTGACAACAAGGGAAACCGAAAACAACACTTGTGGGAAGGAATGTCTCTCTTTGCTGCCTGTGCCCGGCGCCACGGGGGCGCCCAGTTCTGTTGTCAGCTCGGGCCCGGCCCGAGTCCGTCTGTATCTGTTGAAACCAGACCGCCACTCTGTCACCAGGTCCTGGTATGCCCCGAAAAGGTCCATAGGCATTAGCACCCACTCCTCACGCTGGCGCCATTTCCATAAGCAGTGGCTCAGGCAGGAATCCCCTTCCTTGACGGCCAGGACTAGGTAGGGACAGCACCAATCGCACATTATGTACATAGCCATGCTTGGTGGAAGGCCACTCCCCGGTAGACAGAGATGTAGCTGCGCGTATTGAACAGTAGGTATTGAGATTCTAGAAAATAAACATTGATGAATTAGGTGGGGAAGACATGGTGGCCATGTTAGCTTGGCTGGCCAAGAGAGAAGAGCGACTACGCGTGGCAAGTAGACTCGTTCTCCTTTGCCCGAATCCATGCAGGGGTAGATGTGTCGGGTGTTGTGGTCGATATCCGAGACGGCGGTGATGAGACAAGACGTAGGGCGTAAGAATCAAAATTTCGCTGTGGTGGATGCAAGATCGTGTCGGTCATGAAGGTCGTCAAGTTGATGGCTGTTGGTCGCCAGGTGGTGAGAGTGGGAGCGGGAGAAAGTCCTACTTCCTCAACCCAACCTTGCCAGCCAGGTTCTTCCAGAATTTCTTGGCACCATTTTCTGCCTCGGAGCCCGGGTCGCGCACCATGACAGCGTCGCGCACCATGGGGCCGACAATGTCCTCGTCGCCGAGGTCAGGGAACTTGCCCTCGGCATCCAGCATCTTGGGGATGGCGGTCGGGGTGTCGTCCTGCAGGCGGTCCCACCGGAGCTGTGCCTCGTGGCCGGGGTTCATGGCGGCGACGCGGTCCAGCAGGCTGTCGTGCGCCGTCTTCCACTCGCGCTCGGTCTCCGCCCATTTGGCCTCGGTGAGAGCGTAGGCCTTGGAGGTGGTGCCGTAGTGCTCGCCGGTGCGGACGATGTGCTTTGTGTAGTTGATCCTGGCCAGGTCCCAGTCGGCGCGCAGAGTGCGGAGGGTGTCGAAGTCTGCGGCGTCGGGGTGATAGGGGCGAGGCAGGATGGTGTAGTTGGCATGGCCCAGCCGGTCGGACCAGGCGTCGTGCTGTTCCAGCAGGTGGGGGATGGTGCAGACCACGTCGCTGGTGGCGACCACGGGGGAGGACAGGCTCGTCAGGAGCGGAGGCCGGAAGGAGGAGAAGGACGGCTTGGTGCTCAGGGGCGGGGTCGAGTAGACGACGGGGGAGTTCATCTCGGAGCACAGCTGGGGCGCAATGGTGGGCGACTGGAGGGGAGAGGGCACCTGGGACTGGGCCTGGGAGGAGATGATGGAGGGGACCTCGGTCATCAGGGGCGGCAGCAGAGGGGTGGTGGCAAGGGCGCGGTCCCTCTCGATGCTCTGGCGAGCGTTGGCCCTCTCGATGTCGATGCTGGAGGCACAGGGGACGGGGATGCTCTCGGAGCTCTCGAACTCGTAGAAGGACAGGGCGGGCGTGGGCGGCAGAGGGGGCTCGTTGGCGCGATCGAACTTGCGGCTGGGGGCTGAGAGGGAGGAGGACCGGCTGGTCGAGGTGGCGCGTGACAAGGCCGGGGGCAGGTCGAGGGAGGGCTCTGAGGCGGCGGTAAATGCCCTGTGCCGGCGCTTTGTGGACCTCCAGCGGCTCAGGGTAGGGAAGCGCGAGCCGAGTCGCATGGTGAGGCCGGCGAGGGGCGACTCTGCGCCATTGCGCTTGGAGGGGTGGAGCGAAGGGTCCTGGTCGCCGTCGCTCAGGCAGCCCATGTCGTACTCGAAGCAGGCGAGGTCACTGTCGACAGGGCGGGTCCAGTCTGCGCTGTGGACCATGTCCGAGTTTTGGTGAATACACGGCGAGTCACCTGTTTTCCAGGCAAAGTCAGTCACGGCGCCACAACACAATTGGCTTGTCTCAGATGGATGGTATCGCCGTCTCCCGGCCGGGCGAGAGCGAATAGACAGGGGCAGACAGGCAGACGTACACAAACACTCGTAGAGGCTGCTCATCTGGTCGTCAGTGAGCATGGTCATGGCGGATTGGCCGTCGTCAATGTCGAAGCCAAAGTCGGCGTCGGCGTCGGCGTAACCGTCGCGCTCAAAGGGCTCCTCCTCGACGACGTCTGGCAGCAGCAGCCTCTTGGGGTTGGGCGTGTTGGCGGCATTGTGGGAGGGGGGCTGGGGTGGCGAGACGGGGCTGTCGGAGCAGCAGGAGGAGGAGGCGGCGGCAGCAGCCTGGAGGTCGAGGGACGAGGTGGAGCTGGCGTAGCGCAGGTGGCTGCCGCCGTGGTGGGAGAAGGTCGGGGTGACGGGCGAGGTCAGGTCCGAGGCTGACGAGTTGGAGTTTGGGTTGTAGTAGACGAAGGACTGGTCGCGAGGCTCGTTGTGGAGAGAGACGGGTTTCTGGTGGGCGTGTTGCTGGTATTGTTGTTGTTGTTGTTGATGATGTTGCTGTTGGAGAAGTTGGTGTTGGTGTTGGTGTTGTTGTTGCTGTTGCTGATCGTCGTGCTGATCACCTTGTTCGGAAAGGGAAAGGCGGGTTGGTGGAGGATTCTGGTGTGGTTGATTTAGCCATGCCCCTCCGTCGAGCGGCAGCGACAGATCGGCTGGCCGTGATCTTGCAGCAGCAGCAGCAGTAGTAGACATTATGGGTTTGAGGGGGCCGTGGCCGTGACCTGATCGTGGTCGTGGAGGTGGTCGTGGAGGTGGGCGGTGGTTGGTGACGTCTCTGTTGTTTCCTCCCACAGCTCCTTGCCTTCTCCCTGAGAGACGTCTCTCCCTCCTCTGGCGCGGGCAAACACTGCTTGCTGCTCTCTTGTCGCGTTTCTTTTTCTTTCTCTCTCGCGCACTCTCTCGCTCGCTCGCTCGCTCCCACTCAGGGCACACAGGACAGGCGGCTGGCTGGCTCTTTCGTAATTCCAATTGTGGCTGTGGTGTTTTGGTGCTATCGGGGAAAGTCGAGGTGTTGGTCGTGGTCGTGGTCGCGGTCGCGGGGGAAGGAGCAGGTGGAGGTGGAGGTGGAGGGGGAGGTCCAGGACTGGTGGGCAACAATGTTATGTGCAGCTGTCGCGTGGTATATCATGTCTGGTCGGAGGGTGGGAAGGTGGGAAGGTGGGGGGGGGGGGGTGACGGAGAGCTCGAAAGTTCTGGGGCGGGTTTTTGGTTGGCGGGAAGAAAGGTCGAGCTCAGGGATCACAGTTTCTGGGTGCTGGGGTACTGGGCGGCGGCCGTTGGCTGGTGGGGTCAGTGCGGAGCGGTTGCACTTCTCTTCTGGCGAGGGCCGCTGGCCGCAAGCACAGAAGCACGCAGAAGCACTGCAGGGCTCTAGGGCCCAAAAGGGAACAAGGCCTGGCAAGCCCTGGGCAGGCCCTGGCTGCAGCCCGAGTGGGTAAAAAACAGGAAACGGGGCCCAACCTTGCAGCACTGGCAAAGCTTTTTGCTAGGCGGGTGGGCAGGGTGGGGGGGACTGGAGGAACCAGACCGGACAGGGGACCGACAGGGTACGGCCGAACTCGACCCAGGTTAGGGTATGGAAGTATCTGGGTACCCAGGTACTGCGGTAGCGCCCTACAGCGCGCAGCGGCGCCTGGCCGTTTGAGCTCGGTATCTGGGTACCGAGGCAGAGATGGTGTGGATACCTGGGAACCTGGATACCTAGGTACCTAGGTACCTCCGTACATACAACAGCACAACGCGCGAGAAGGCGAGGCAGTGGCACGCTGCTCGCTCTCACTTGCCCCTACTACTACTACTGCAGTCTACTACTCCGTACGCCATAATTGGTGGTGGCTAGTCCCAAAAGGGTGCTCCCCGACGCACGGATTGGCTTCGAGAGGTCGGCTCAGATCAGTGGAAGGAACAACCTGGGCCATGGCATGAGCTAGGGAGCCTTCTAGGGTGGGTTGGTGGTGTTCTGGCGAGTTCCGATTTGTGGACAGGCTATGTCTGCGGCTCGCAAGAACCAGAGTAGCAGTCCATCTTTCTTTATCATCATCATCACCACCACCCTGGTGTAATGGACTACTGTAGACTGTGGTATGGGGACCAGACCAGAGGGGGACAGAGGGGACAGAGGGGACAGAAGGACGAGGGAAGAGAGGAATGGAATATCCACGCCGGCACATGTTTTGGGTGCCACGGCAGCCGATGAATTGACCACCACGACCGTGTACGACAGCATGCACACGCACCCAGGACGGTGGCTACGAATTAATACTGTGCTGAGTACTCCATCATCTGCCCTCAACCACGGCTGCCACGGTGCAAAAAGGCGAGGTCCAAGGCCAGAGACACGCAGGCGCGATGCGAGGCAAGGGATCGTGACGCCGGCAGACTCTCGATTGGTAACCTTGGAAGGTGACCAGCCTGCCAGCCTGCCAGCCTGCTTCCTCAGCCCGTCCTCTCTGCTTACACAGTACTTACGCTACACCGCGATCCTGTGATCCAACCGACCCTGACGTTGCAGCGATGCTGCTGTTCTTGTCGCCTGCCACCTAAACCAAGAACAACACTTGCACACTCACACTCACAGTCTCACGCATTTGTGGACCTGTCAGCTGCCCGGCATGTATTAATGCATTGACTCCATGGGCAAGCTTCATGATCCCATCAAAACATGCCGGTGGAGTGGTCTACAGCCGCCCGTCCGTCCCAGCAAGCGACAGCCAGCCACACCTGGGCAGGCAGCGGCAATGCAGCAATGCTGCAGTGTGCTGGCCCCGAATGCCAAACCCGCAGCAGGACGGCAGCTCATCGCCAATCGATTTTTGCGTTTCTGTCCAAGCAGCCCAAGGTCGTCCTCGGCCCTGCCACGTGAAGCATCTTCTACGGAGTCCTGTGGTGCTGGGCTGGACTGGAATGGACTGGACCAGACAGGACGGGACAGAGACGTGTGACTGTGGGTGGGTGTCGGCGCGCGACACTTCCAACGAGGGCCTATACACTTTTGTTGTTGTGCACCGGCACCATGCCTATATCAGCACTCTACTATTGCCAGGGGGTTGGGCCCAAAGCATCCTGGCATCCAATGTACAACGCCTACCGGCCGCTCATCAAGACCACTGGCAGCTCTACCAAGTAGGCCCTCTCAAGATCCTGCAGAAGCTGCCGAGGTGGCTGGGGCTGCTGCTGGCTGGGTGTGTGTGGGCGTGCCTCTGGGGAAGCACAAGCATATACTGTACACTCACATTGGATGGTGTGGTGCTGGCACGGTGCGATGCCCAGGTGCGGGAGGATTGATGGGAGCCCGAGCCCGACGATGTGGGTGTGAGCGGGAGGACGAACTCGATGGCGCCCGAACACCCAGCCGTCTGACCTCAGGGCTGGTGGCTGGCTGGGCTGGGCTGGGCTGGCTGGGCTGGTTCGACAACAAAGACTCACCAGAGTCCCGCCGGTCAAGACCTCCAGAATGCAATGCAATGGCACGCAACCTCGAGGGCAACATGGTCGCATGGCAGCAATGGGAACAGACTGCCAAGCTGCCAAGCCACCACTTGGCCCAAAACAGTCACCCTGACACCGGCTTACAAAACACATGAACACGACTGCAGGCGAGGTCATTCGCCCGGAGTACTGCACAGGTCGGTGTTAGCAAAACTGTATGCGGGTTGTCCTAGTGTCGTGCTAAAGCCTGCGCTCTAGTTTTTCCTCCCAGCGTGCTCTTTGCTTCTGTTTTTTCAACCATTTTTCGTTTCCCTCCTCCATCCACTACAGCACTGCCTGCAGTAGTGGGCATACAGTGGCTGCAACGAGTACGGTGGTAGTGTGCAATAATGGACACAAGGAGGCATGGAGACAGGGACGAACATACTCCCTCCCCACTGTATGACGGCGCTTGAGGTAATCCCGTGCTCGTCATTGCTGATGGCGCTGTGGGCCTCTGGGATCGTCGGGAGGGGGCAGGGAGACAACAGAGAGACGCAACAGAGAGACGCACAGACTGACGGAGAGACATGAAAATGCCGCTACCGGGCCCGACAGGGCTCCTGCGGATGTGTATGCGCCAGTGTGCGCGCGCCTGTGGGCTACCACTACCCGAAGCGTTGCGAGAGCGAGTCCAAGTGTGGGATGGCAGGATGGGAGGCAAAGGGGCCGAGGCGTGTCGCCGCCTGGCGGGCCGCGGAGACCACGCCGGCGGCCCACGTTTTCTTTGCGCGCGGCTTTTTGGACGGGACGTTGAGATGCACTACTGCACAGTACCGCCCCGGGCCAAGGGATTCTTCTGGCCTGAACGCATTGTCGTGAAACGGCCTTTCCTCGTGACATGCGCGCTGGCCCTTCCCGTCCTGCCGTCCCGAGCCTCAAGCGCTCTACACACAGTACGGAGTACATATCTACTATCCTCCAGCCCGCCCGCTGCCCTCGGTGAAACACTGGCACCATTGGCAGAGCTATGACGACGCAATACTGCGTGCACTAGTGTCAACTGCTTCCGGACCGGGTGTGCTAGGCTGGCTGGCTGGCTGGCTGAGCAGGTGGGTTTTGCTGGTGGGCCCCGGGCCGGCTGTCTTCAACACAAGTTGCTGTGCCACTCGCAAAAAAAAAGATTCAACATGACCCAGGGGGCTGGGCAGGGCCTGGCACTGGCAAAGCCGCACGCCGCAAGACGGCATTGGGCAGTGGGGCCGTGGGGCAGGTGGGAACAGTGGGAACACACTTCTCAGGTCTCTGATCGGCCTCAGCCCTGGACCTGGGCCTGGGCCTGGACCTCGGTCTCCTGGTCGCTGCTGCTGTCTGCCTGTTCCCTGGCGGGTGCCACTGCCACGAGCGAGAGAGGGGCAGAATTGGCTTTGCTAGGTTGCTGCAACTTGCTGGGAGGGCCCTCCAGCCCCTGTGGTGAATTGACTCGCTGCTGTACTCCGTACATATGCCAGACATTGTCAATTGACTTATTATTCACAACGTATACAGGTACCGTATAACGAATGTAGGGCACTGTGTGTCAGTCATCTGGGAAAAAAAGAAGAGCTGCTGCGGCCTGTCCAACATCGGTTGAACGGGGAACAATGATCGGATCAGGTCCTTGTGAGCTGCGGGATGAGGGATTATCGAGCCCCGGCGTCCCACAGGTCGGACTGTCACGACTCACAGCCGTGTTGGTTGCTCGCCATGGCGGGCTCAGGCACCGGAAAGAGCTATTTCAGTGCAGCCCACAGGCAGACAGGCAGTGCTCGGGTTCACTGTGCCTCGGGACGGCAGACCAACAAGCAAGGCAAACACGAAGTCCGACGAGGATGAGTGCTGCAGGCCATTTGATGACAGCCGGCCTGAGCACTGTGGGCCCCCCAGCCCCGGAAGTGAGAGAGATTGCCGAGGACGGAGCACCCTCACTCACTGCCTCACCACGCCTGCACGCACCGAGTTATTACCACTGCGCCCAGCATGGCACCCACCCGGCAGGGGTACGTGGGCAGCAGCGAGGGTGCTCGGGCACGTCATGGTCTGGGCAGAAAGTGAAAACATGGGGATTGAGAAAAATATGATGAAAAAAACAAAACAGCGTCGTCATTATGGTGAAAAGGTGTGGGTGCCAGACCACCTCAGAGGAGGAGAAATGTGAAGAATTTTCTCACAGGCTGTCTGTCTCGTTTCAACTACACAGTAGGAAAAGAAGAGGTGCCCGTGGGCTGCCCGTGGGCAGACACACACGGGGCATCGGCAAAGAATGACATCAACTGCATGTTGGTTGGTGTCGGCTATTTCATCCATCAAGACCCGGGACCGGGAACATTGAAAGGGGCTTCTTCTGGTGCCGGGAAAAGAAGCACGGGATCCAGTAAGACTGACTAACAAGTGCATATGCAGCTGGAAATAGTGTTAGTAGATAGCAAAGTAATACAGTAAATACTACATACCTACCTACGTAGGTAGGTAGGTAGTAATACAGCACGATGGGGAGAGGTGGAGGAGGTAGATGACAGCGGGCCTGGTGTACCACAGTAGGGAGGCGGCAGTGGAGGCAGTGGAGGCAGTGGAGGCAGGGAGACGAGCCAAGGGAGAGAGAAGAAGACAGCCAGATTCGGAAGGGTGTCCCCCGAGCGCTGGGCCCTCCTTTCGCACCTGGGCCCTCCTTCTTTCGCACCTGGGCATGCAGGGTTGGGAGATCCGTGGGATCCTGTTGGCCGGCATCCATGGAAACCTGTTCCGAGGGCCCACCAACACAACATGACAACGCTTTTGGGAACGGGAACATGGGCTGCCCAGAACCGCAATGTCTGATTCTAGACGTGAACCAAGTAGTGCTGCACAGACACTACCAATCTGGACAGGACGGGATGGCCCTCCCTCTCACCGTGACAACACTAAAGCTCAAGCTCGAGGACGTGCCTATCCTCCTCCTCCTCTCACCGTGCATGCATCTAAACTATGTCTACTCCAATGAGCAACTAACTGCCCGGGTGCCCAGGTGCTGTGCTCTACTAACGGGAAGACAGTCATAGGCATGCGGCGTATTGCGTATTCTGCAGCGCGGGGCGTATTCGCGCCGTCCTTCCTGCAGTCCAGTCCAGGCCGGCTCAGGCTGTGCGTCATCTGGCCGGCCGGGCTTATACTATATCCTCTCAAGTCAGTACCCACTACGGAGTGCACTACACTAGACCAGGTAGGAAGGAAATCGCGGTGCTCCAAACCTGCTGCCGTCATTAGGGATGGCCAGTGAAAGTTTCAAAGTCGAAATATTTCAGTCAGCCAGCCAGATTTCATTTCACCAGGCTAGGTGGGTCTGAAATATTTTATGGGTACCTCAGATCTGGTGGGTCTGCCATATAAAACTGAGGTACTTTGCTAGCAACTGGTATCTTCTTGTACGGTCTGCTGGTGTAAAGTGCTGGCGGATAGCTGGTAAAAAAACTGGTGGGTGGGGCAAAATGCTTGACCGCCTGCCGTTTTGAGTATAGTGGCTCCTTAATTAGGATTAGCGTGACTTTCAGTTTTCTTTCACTGGAGGGCTCGAATATTCAGATTTCCTTCAGAAGGGTGGGTGGGCCTGACTTTTCGCCATCCCTAGCCGTCATCATGTCCGAGGATCATGTACCTTGTTCCGTGCCGTGTCATCTCAGGGCCGATGTTTCCTGATCTGTCTGTCTTGTTTTGTGTGGTGTCATCTGTGCCTTGGTAGCATGTTTCGTTTCTATCTCCCCCATCAAAACCTTAAAAAGTTTACTGACCGATTTGACCGTACCTAGGTAGACTGACAGATCATTTCGTCAGCCTCGGCCTCGGCCTCAGCCTCAGCTCGGCAGCAGTGCCCACTGCCCAGCCATCCATACCCCGTACTCGGTGCCATACGTATCCGTACAACAGTTCGGACATGACCGCTGTCTGCCAGCCTGCCAGTGAATATCACCCAAGAGGGCCAAGCAGAGCAGCACAGAGCAGCACAAACCCCCTCAGGCAGTCCCCCGGTCCCCTCACACCTCCCAGAGACGGCACTCTGAAACAGACAGACGCCTCACAGCCTCAGGGCCAGAAAAGAGGCGTCTCGTTCTACCCTAGAGGGTCCTGAGTCCGTACAACACAGTACGGAGGTGTCCCGTGCTACCAGTAGACTATGCTGTGCCGTGCTGTACTCCGGTGACACGGCAGCTGCACCAAGCACGCAGCACGCATCAAGCTTGACCCAGCAGCTGCTGTAGCTCGGGAATCGTGTCCTGGTCTCGAACGAAGCTGCACTTCTCGATCAACTAATCCCAATCAGCTCCCGCCATCGAAAGCTACCCTGGGCTGGCCTGGCAGCCTTGGCTCCAGCTTGGGCGGTGCTCAAGTGCATCGTCGTAAGATGTGTCGTCCCTTGCATTAGCTCCCCTAGTCCCACCCTTGGCCCGGTATCGTGGAGGGCTGCGGACGCCGCCGATTCGATGCCAACGGCTTCGGGAAATATACGCAGACGGCACATGCCAAGGATGAGCCCTTGCCCATGGCCCGGGTTTCCCAACCGAGGCCAACACCGGTTGCACTCGTGGGCCGGGTTGGCTGTGCCACCTCCCTGCCTGCCTTCGATCACTCTTGCCAACGGGACGGCATTTGGGTCGTACTCAACCCTTTTTTTTCCTGTCGACCGCCTCGATGGTACTGGGGGTTGCATCATCAATATGGATCGATCGACCTGATGGCTGACGGACAGGGTGGCGCAAGCTAGATGCAAGTGCCCTGGGTATTGCGCACCCGGTCCCACCCATGGTGGTTTACTCATTCAGAGTTTCAATTAATGTGTCCATCTATCGACTCAGCACGCTAACCATGGATGCAAAAGGTTATTGTTCAACGTCCAGGCACTCAGTGCGCCACTCGCCGTGAGGTGTGCGTAGACGGCAATACTACATGGTAGATAAGCTTTAGGGACCCGGCTTCCACACCTTCTCAACCAAGTCCGGCAGCCAAGAAATGACCACTCAGCGGCCGCGACCCTTGTCTCCATCGTCGTGCATCGCTAGACGGCCGTCTTGCCTCGACTACTGTGGCCCATCGTGGCAGTAGCGAGGATTTGGTTGCTCCAGTATTCAGCAGGATCGTGGCCCAAGATATAGCGTCTACGGCCAATAGACAAGAGCCGTGCATGCGGTGGTAATTAAATCTCGCAGTAGCTCCGGCTGCCACTCGAGAGAGGCGAACCACATGTGAAAAGTACGGAGCATGATCTAGACCTCTCTATCCACGTCTACGGAGTAGTCGATGGTCCGTCTAAGTTTGGCCAGCAATGACTACTAGATGGCTGCATACTCTGACAGCCAATATCATGAGGATCAGCATCGCCATCTGGCTCTAATGCCTCAGGAATCCATTGTGGCAGCTCACGCACTATGCAGAGGCGTCACTTTTGTTGCATTCAAGCAATTTCCGGAGGAGTGTGAACATGATTCTTGACATAAGTTACCTAGTCTGTCGTCGTAAGCCCACATCGCTGCACCAAGACCCTGAATGATGCGAGCTCCTACGAACATCCCGCGCATTACTACGCCCAACATACGTGCCAGCGGAGGTGGTAACACCGTTTGGCTCAAGCTGTCCTAATAATAGTCGATTTTCTGTTGGGGCGCACAAAGTCCGGCTGCATGCGTTGGGATGCTCGATGCCGCAGAATGCAAGTGGTGTCTGTCTTGCCGGAAGCACCCCACTTGGCAACGACTCGGACATGCAGCTTTGTTGTCATGATGGCTCATATCAAAATAAGCGAGGACTTAGCTCTGCAACCGTGACAATGACGCGTCTGGCCAGGAGCAACCTGATTCTGTTTCCCTCGATATCCAGGCCGGGCACTTGGACAAGTCTGACGGAGAAATCCGTCAGTGGAATGGGCATGGGCGATGTCAATAGTATCTTCACCTATACCTGTTCATACTGGATTGTTCGGGACCAATATTCACCTGCAGACGAGAGTGACTCAGCTCGTTTCTACCAAGGTAGAGGGCCTGAGACCGGGGCGTGACTGAGGCTGGCGTTGTTCGGGAGTGTAAATCGATCAAGTTATCCTTCCACTACGCCGGATCGCGAACTAGAAGTAGGTGTAGACAATGACACATTCAGTAGGGGTGCTTGAGCTCACTATTTGATACTTGATAATGCAACACTGAAATTTAAACAAATCAACAGATGATCCTGCCCATACTTCCATCACATTCGCGGATAGCCAAACATGTACTTGAGTATCACCATATACAAAGGCGGCCTCATAAGAAGAAGTGACACGCAAAGGTCTCTAAACCGGTTCTTGCAGATCTTGCAAGCGGCCAGTCCGAGCCCTGGACTCGATGATGTCTGACCTATTGCTCCCAGGCGCACGCACCATTGCAGGATCTTTATTGCTAAAAAGATTGAAGTGTTTGAAAGGGGTTGGATTGATAAATAAATAAAATCTATATACCCTAGGGTATGTTTACTGGTGTTGCGTTCTTTAAACGGCTTATGGTTGCGATGAACATCCAAAGCATCTTCATAGATACCAGTTGACTGGATAGTTGACCAGGACACTTGGCGTGTTAGCAGAGTGAAGGACTAGTCAACCTCAGGCTGTGCGCTATTTTGCCTCTAGGACTGCCCTTATTCCATCGGCAAAAAGCAGCCTGGCATAGACGTTATGAAGCCATTGGAAGAATGTCGAATATGGCCGCCCAGTGACGGAGTTGCAGCTCACGTGAGAGAATGTCACCGTGACTATGTCCTGCTTTCCTTCCTTGCGGCCATTCTCACGGGTGACCTCGAAACGATGGGAAGACACAAGCTCGTAGGCGTCTGATCCCCCCGCAACGAACTCGGCGGAGACGAAATCGCCATCACCCCCAGGGGCAGTATTCGCGATGGGTTCCCTCGTTCCTGGCTGTCCCGCTGTCTTCAAGGGCAATTTCTCAGAAAGAAGAAAGATGCCGAACAGGAGGGACCCTGAAGGAGGGAGAGATTTCTGGGAGAGGGATGATAGGTCCCAGACCTCCTGTATTGGGGACCTTTCCAGCTCGATATTTTCAAGTTCTAAGGTTCGCGTCAGTTCATCAGGAAACGATGCTACCTCCTATCCAACTGTCTGGGATTTGGTTAGACATCGCTAGGGTACTTACTGTCAGTGTTTGTTAAAGAGAGCCTTGTGTAATTGAAAAACCAACGCTCCGGGCTGAATACCCAGCCGCCAAAGAAGCCTTGTGTGAAACGAGCGAGAATTTCATTGTTCTCTATGCCGGGTTTAAGTCGATTGGCCGAAATCTCAAGAGTTATTCTGTGTTGATAAAGGTCTCTCTTCAGAGTATTCAATTTCGTCACGGCGACCGAATTTTCATGGCCATGTGTTGCCAGAGGTATGTTGCTGGCTTTCCAGGATGATTGGTACCGGTGAAGCACAACGAAAAGGAGTGCTGAGCCTGAGCTTAATATAGCCAGCGTGGTCCTTGGATATCGTAGCCCTGTCATGATCAAATCGCTATTCTATGGTGAATAGAATGTTCGATGAGCCAATTTGAATAGCAGTGCGAGCGGTTCCAGTCATTTATATCACGGACTGATTGCTGACCAAACATCGCCGGCATGTCAGCAATGGCCGTGCAACCGTGACCACCCGGGTCCTCCGGTGCTGCACGAGCTCCGGCAACTCCCGACCCTTCCAAGTTTCTCTATAATCAAACGATCCATAAAATTTCCCGGAATAGTCAAACGGTCCAAATCGCCTCCGACAATACATCTGGCAGATTGTTCTTTCTGACTAGCTATAAGGGCATGAGCGTTCAGTGTGACTCCTTTGTGCCCACACCAAAGCACGGTATGGTACTCGCTGATACGGGTGTCCGGTCAGTCAGGGACGTCCCCTCGGAAACAAGTCCTCCGAATACTCAAGAGCCTTCTTTGCAAGGCAGTTCTACAAGCCCCAACAGAACTTCTCAAGTGCCACCGCGTGCTCCCAAGCAACGTCAGTTTGAGGACGTGGAAACAGCCGTAGAGATGACGCAGCAAGCACCGTGGCTGCCGTGTAAAATACCCTGCACCATCAAGGTGGCGGGGGCTCATCGGTAACAATCAACATCCTCTGCGCCCCTGACACACATTCGAATACGCCCTCTTCCATGAACAGCCGGGAAAGACTGCTGTCTGGCAAGCTTTCGGGGACAGTCACTAAGCACCATGGCGCTAGCATAGGTCTAAATACAAGAATTCGTGAGTGGAGATATCTGTTGGCAGATTAGATTGTCTTGATGCTGGCTTGAAAACCGGTAGATTCATAACAGACTTCCTTACCGTAGGTGACGAATTGTGCTCCGGGTAATAGGATTTTCGTTTTGCAGACGCCGAGGCATTGTGCTGTCGTAGGTATTTTTAGTCGAGAATGCAGGGAACTGTCGACCGAGAAACTGTGGAAGAGGTGTCCAGAAGCAGGGTCTAACAGGGAAGCCCAAGACGAAAAGAGACACTCCGAGAGCATTGACCTCACAACTGCGGGAGATTGCTTCTTGGATTTGTTTGGTAGATATTGAGTATGCGGCGAAGACGGACATGGTGACCAAGAATGCAATGGACCATTTCTTGAGTTGTGAGAAGTTTCTTGGGTTGCGCGTATGCGCGTGAGCAAATCTCACCAGATAAAGCTCAATCGTCGTGCCTGAGCCCTCTTGGATTTCGTCCGGGGGCCAGCTTCCATGGTGCCAAAGCGATGGGCCGCGTGACTAGTCACAGCATACACTGCATTTCTTCTGTCAAGGGGCGCACAGGGTGACCCGGAATATGGATGGACAGAGGCAAGCAGGGAACTACAGAACCGACAACAGAATTGAGGCAGCTTTGATTAGGCATGATGTGATATGCGGTCAAATCTTGAAGCTCTGGGGTCACGCACGGTATCTAAATTTGAAGATGTTTCTTCTATTTGTATTCTTCAAGTTCATTTGCCACACTTGAAGGCCCCGGGGCGTTTGGAGCACATGTCCCTCTGTGTAGTTTCCATTTTCTTTGATTTCGTAAAGTAACCCGCAGATTGAGCCAATTCAACTCCAGTTCGAGAAGTCCGTCCCCGCAAGCCAGCTTCGGGCTGTGCTGGGATTGGCTCCCTGGAGCGTAGGATAGGATCACTTCTCGACTCGTGAGTGAGGTGATCCAACTCCGAATGCTGTAATTCAGGTACTGACTGAGACGGGCTTCACTACCTATGGCAGAAAAAGGCACGAGACTGGATATATCTATAAAGGATGGGTGATTTCAAGCTCTCGTTGCCCCAGGAGTATTACATATTACAGAGGAACCAGCAAAGCTGGGATCTCGAGTTGTGTAGTAAGGGGCAAGCTAGTATATGAACATATTTTATGACATTATCGGCACCGGGAAAAGCGTCACAAATCCCGGGGGTTGAAAATTGCACTCGACATTGTATGTTTTTAAAATCCTGGGCCTGTGAGCGCTTACCACTGCAAGAAGGCGTATATGACTTCGGGCCGTATACGGGATTGAGATGAAACCAGTGAAAAATGAATGGCTGAAAGTGGCAACTGTCCGATGACTACCCAATACCCAAAACACGATATCCCGACCTCGGGAGTCCAATGGATTGATGCATGTACCCCTACGCAGTGACCTTCTAACCGAGCAGCCGAACACCTTCAAGGTTTATGGGTCTCTCCTCGCAGACCGGACCGGACCCGCTGGGTAGGGTTAGGTGGGAAGAGCCGGGTGAGCACGCACACGTGGGCACGTGTAGATCCACTTACTTTATGTGGACCGGTGGTTCTTGTGGAGTTGGGTCTGGGGTTCACGACGACGGTGGTTTGATGTCCCACTGGCTTCTGACACCCAAAGTCCATTACAGCAGTTTGCAGTCCAACTACTTTCCTCGACATGGCTCTACATGATGGTATATTGTCATGTCCCTATGCATCCGCGCCACTTCAACATCAAGACCCTCTCTAATCCATTCTTGAAATGTGTGGGCGAGTTTGACGGTCGGTCTGGGGTGCTTGTATTTGTGCTACATGTCGACTTTCTAACCGCAGAATATTAAGAGTACACAGTATTTGCATCTCACATGTCCATCCTGGTTGTGGACCTCGGGGTATCCACAATTCCACGGTGGGAGTCCTGCCGATCTCCGAGATGTGTCACTGATAGGTATGCGCGCAACCAGGAGGAGACCACCGCGTGTCCTGACAAGTTTGATGATGCGTGGTTTATTCCTCAAGCCACCTGCGCGTTGCTGACCAGGTCTAGTTGGCAGCGGACACAAGTGGAACTGCGGTTGAGTTTCGAAAATCCCCCAGCACATACTCGGTAGTCTACATTCCAAACTTTAGGATTATGCCTGGCGATTGACGGCGGCCTTCTATACGGTGTTGCTGTGCAGCCGCCACACCATGATTGGTCCGGCTGACACTGCCTGTGGAACAACCAGACAGACAGACACACACTCGACAGTGCCTGACCTGGATCGAAGGATGTCTCAAACCCACCGAGGACAGGTTGTTTCACGTCACGAGGCTGCTCACCCACCGTAGCCGTACTAGGAACACGATGATGCATACAAGCTGTAGCCGCGCACGACTAGTAACTAGCAAAGCTAGCCTTTTTCCTCTTCCTCGCCGCGTGAAGGAAAAAAAAAAAAAAAGAAGCAAGCCAACGAGATGGCAAGGAGGACCCCCAAATGTCCCGGGTGGAAGGAAGAGCAGGTGATTGGCCCGCGTGCGATGGATGTTACATAGCACCCAGGTAAGTACACAGACTACCCCTTCCTCGTGTGCCCTGCCGGCTTCCACGCCGCTTCCCCTGGGGCCTCGGTGTAATGTAGGGCGAGGCGTGACATGGGACGACCCAGCGCTGGGGCAGCTGGGCAGACTGGCAGATGGCAGAAGTTGGGGAAGCTGGGGCGCCGCCGCGCCGGTGGGGACAAGCTTCGGGGCCCCAGGCTAGTAAATCTGCACTAGGCCAGATCTGGCGTGCGGGGATGGGGACAGACAACATTGGACGATATTGCAGGCCGTGTAACGACGCCTTGATTGGTTGCCATGCCATCCATCAATGCCCACCGGGACAGGACAAACAAACTGGTAGAGAGGCCTGGGCAAGCTGGCCTGGTACAGAAATATTGTATTTCGCCTGGACCCCCGTTTTCCCCAGGCTCCCCAGGCTCCCCAGGCTCCCCAGGCTCCCCAGGCTCCCCATGCCCCCCCTCCCCCAGGCTACCTTGGTCTGGTCTGGCCTCGCTCGCAGCAAATCACCGGCGCGTATAATGAGGACGGAGGTACTCTATAGCGAGCCGACCACGAACCACGACCCACGACCCAGGCCCAGGCAAGCCCAACTGGCTAACTGGCTAACTGGCTATACCCGCCCAAGCGCTATGGACCATTCCGGCTGGGCTGACCGGCGCTAAGGTCAAGCCTCGCCGGGAGGAGCTCATTTGAAGGAGCCGAGCGAGTCAATCACGGGGCCTGGAGTGTCGGCATAAGACCCAACATGTGAGCTAGCATCCATCCTGGGGGGGGGGGGGGGTACGGCACGGTGCCACAGGCCCCAGTACGCGAAGAAAGAAAGACTTTGGCAGCCGTAGTTCCCTAGACTTTGCTTGCTCAAGTGACAGACAGGACAGGGTGTGTTGCCCCAGCTGCCTGCTGCCCTTGCCCCTCTCATTGATTGATGGAATGTTACAAAAGGACGAATCCTACGTCCCTAGATGCAGCGAACCGTGGCACTGTAGCATCAGCCAGTCCTACTGCTGCCTTCTTTTTTTTATTTTTTATTTTCCTCCTGCTGCCCCTGACAGACAGACAGGCAGAACAGGCCGAGAGGGGTTGGATCTGATCTCCTTTTGAAATTTAAAAGGTGGAGGCCCTCCCAGATTCTCGGATCTCCCATCCTCTTTCCCCCATCCTGACGCCCATCTTCCGCACCCCTCAACACACACCCACTTGTTGTTGTTGTTTGTGCCATCGCCGAGGCGAACACGAACACACACCGTCAACATGAGTGAGCCCATCGACAACAAGGCCCACGCCGGCGCCGGCGACGTGATCAGCGAGGAGAAGGACACCGGCATCGCCCACGTCGACGACTCCCACAACCTCGACAATGAGGCCAAGCTCGAGGCCTACAAGGCCGCCGCCATGGAGGCTGAGGTCGCCGAGCAGCAGTCGGGCGTCGTCCAGGCCGTCAAGGAGTATCCCATGGCTGCCCTCTGGGCCTTTGTCATGTCCTGCACAATTGTAAGTCAGACAACCTGGGGAGACAGGCACACACACACGCACAAGTCTCCCGCCCCCTCCCCGATCCCGCGGCCCCATCTCGGCCACACTTGTCCCGCACGTGAGTGTGTACATGGTCAGAGAGAGGACTACCGCTGACGCAACCCCGGCCCGAGTATAGATCATGGAGTCGTACTGTGTCTTCCTCGCCGGCAGCTTCATCGCCCTCCCCCAGTTCGCAAGGAACTACGGCGTGCCCAGCTCCGAGGACCCGAACAAGTACATCATCGTGGCCAGCTGGCAGTCGGCCCTCCAGATGGGCGGCCCCGTGGGCGCCATCATCGGCGTGCTGCTCGCGGGCCCGCTCACCAGCCGCATCGGCTACCGCTGGGCCACCATCTCGGGCCTGATGCTGCTCAACGCCTTCATCTTCATCTTCTACTTTGCCGACTCGCTGCCCGTCATGTTCGTCGCCCAGCTGCTCGAGGGCATCCCCTGGGGCATCTTCATCGCCAACGCGCCCGCGTACTGCAGCGAGATCACCCCCATCCAGCTGCGCGCCCCGGCCACCCAGATGCTGCAGATGTTCTGGGCCATCGGCTCCATCATCGTCACCGGCATCACCTTCCACTACAACCAGTACATGCAGGACATCGCCTACCGCATCCCCATCGCCCTGCAGTGGATGTTCCCCACCCCGCTGGCCATCCTGCTCTTCCTCGCCCCCGAGTCCCCCTGGTGGCTCGTCCGCAAGGGCCGCCTGGCCGAGGCTGAGAAGGCCGTCGCCCGCCTCGGCCGCAAGACCCGCCTCAACGCCAGCGAGTCCGTCGCCATGATGCGCCGTACCGTCGACCTCGAGAAGACCATCAAGGAGCCCAGCCTCGTCGAGCTGTGGAAGGGCACCGACCTGTACCGAACCCTCATCGTCTGCGGTGTCTACGCCGCCCAGAACCTGACAGGCAACCTCATCGCCAACCAGGCCATCTACTTCTTCGAGCAGGCCGGCATGGACACCAACACCGCCTTCGCCCTGGGCCTCATCACCTCTGCCCTGCAGATGATCTTCGTCATGCTGTCCTGGATCCTCACCTCGTACCTCGGCAGGCGCACCATCTACGTCTGGGGCTCCCTCATCAACGTCGGCTTCCTCATCGCCCTCGGCATCGCAGGCTCCGTCCACCAGAACGACGCGGCCTCCCTGGCCCAGGCCTCCCTGGGTCTCATTGTCTCGGTGCTGTTCGTCCTGGGCCCCGCCCCGGCCTCATGGGTCATCATCGGAGAGACCTCCTCGGTCCGTCTCAGGCCCCTGACCACCGGTGTCGGCCGCGCTGCTTACTATGCCGTCAACATTCCTTGCATCTTCCTCTCCAGCTACATGCTCAACCCCGACGTAAGTAGCTCAGCTGATCTCCCGCCGCCCCCCCCCCCCCAAAAAAGAAAACCTTTCTGTTTTTGTAGTAGTGAGTCCAATTACTGACAACAAATGCAGGAGGCCAACCTCGGTGGCAAGTGTGGTTACGTCTGGGGCGCCACCGGCTTCGTCTGCTTCCTCGCCGCCTACTTCTTCCTGCCTGAGATGAAGAACCGGTCCTACCGTGAGATCGACATCCTGTTCAGGCGCAAGGTGCCGGCTCGACAGTGGAAGAAGACTGAGGTTGATATCGCTGCCGACGAGTAAGCGGTCAAGTTTCTCTCACGGGTTTGAGTAACAACCTTGGAACTTGAGCAGGGGCAAAGGCATCAGCGGGTGCCTGATATCTTTGACAGGTCGCAGGGGATGCTGCTGGCCGTGATATCCGTTCTTTCCATATATCTTTTAGTGACAAGATACGCCAGCAAATGATATAGACATCGCGTCTGACATGATAGCTGAATTATTATATTCCACATTAAGTGCCGAATCCGTGCATCACATCGTGTGGACACTATGCTTTCACAACCGAGCATGCACCTGTGGCGGGCCGTAAAAGCCACTTTGTTGCGATTCACTTGCAGTTGATGACGCCCGCATTCCTTGATTGATATGTATGTGTGTCACCACCCTCGCCGTACTATCTTCTAGCTCCTTTCATTTTAGGAGAGGAACAGCCGCCCCTGCTTCTGAAACGTGTCAGGTGATGCTGCTTAGAAACAAACCATCCAGCACAGGTGCGTGTTACTGCGATCACGAACTGTTCCTGGGCTACTCATCACAGGCCACAGAAATGGTCATGTTCAATGAGCCCGTCTAGCTGGCTTGCGAAGCCGCCGCCTGCCGCACTCCTTGCAGAGTACCGGTAGATACCAATCCTGACGTTTCGGCCAACTGGTCCGGTTGGGACATGGCCCATCACGGCAACGCACGGCCCAGGGCCGGTAGACTCTATGGCCGCAGAGATATCGATCGTAGGGGCGGTAGCACATAATGACAAGGTAAACAGTCTTGCCGAGAGCCGAGAGTTGGGCCGATCCTGATGCGCTGAAAGACGTTGTCGACGACCGCGGCCGGCGATCCTCTGCTGGGCAGTTTGGAGATAGAGCTGCGGGCAGAAGTGAGTTGGGAGGCAGCTTCAACCCCTCAAATGTCTTATAATAGCAGTGGCACGTTGGACACTGTGACTATCTCGGTCTCACCCGAAGCAATTCCCGGCCCAGTGTGTCGTGTCATTGTGAGCAAGTCCCAGGTCAGGTGCTACGTCCCGTCTCAAAAAGGGCCAGCCGGTTTCTCGGGTCTGGCCATGATTGATGGGCAGGGCTGTGACTCATGTGTGCCCCACGTCGCCGTTGGACGGTACCGAAGGTGACGATGACGCTGTGCGTCTCACAGAGATAGGTCAAACTTGATCGAGGGCACCCGCAGTACCTTTGTCACGTTCTCACAGCCAGTACCTGCCCCAGATTGCCAGCTCCTCTTTGGACCCACGGAACTGGAAGTCGACCTCGACGATGTCCTGGAAGCCCTCGCTGGCCTTGGGCTGCTTGAAGCGACTGGCGAAGCCGTTGAATGCCAGCTTTGGGAGGGCGGTCCTCGCCTCGGGGTTCATATCCTTGTTCATGGCCCTGACCGTGTCGTTGTGCTCTGCGATGCTGAGAGGTGTCTTGAACCACACGCACCGGATGGGCACACCGGCCTTTTTTGCAAGATCAACCCATTGGCCCCGTACATCGGGGTCCGGGTTCGTGTTGTCGACTGCAACTGACTCCCCCTCCTCGAGGTGCTCCCTTGCAGCCTTGAAGCACTTGTCCTTGCTCTTGAGCATGTCCTGGTTGACCCTCTCGTACCCCAGGGGTTTCAGGTACCGCCAGTAGAAGGTGCTCTTGCCCGCGCCGGGTGGCCCGCAGAATAGCACAATCTCCTTGGCATTTTTCTTCTCGAAGACCACGCCATCCAATCGGCCGTGGTCGTCCGAAGCCGTGTATGACGACACGTCAAAGTCTCTGGAGAACTCGCGAGGCTGCTCGCCGAGGAAGAACTCCTCTGGTGTCTGGTATTTGATGCCGGCATTGTAGGCGAAGTTGCGGTCGGAGCAGCTAAAGTCCTTTGCTATGGCCTTTTTGCCTCCGGATGCAGGTACGGCGACCCGCCCGCCAGCGTCGCCAACAAAGATGCTGGCATCCTTGTCAACGTCTTCCAAGTGGTAGTCATCGCACAACTCGTGCCACATGCCTATTCTCGGCTTGCGGAACACGTCTTTCGCGGTAGCAGCGTATACAGATGTGGGGATGTCGAGCTGGGCCAGGACAGCACTGATCTTTTGCTTGAAGGGAGCGACCCGTTTCGTGTTGTCAGGGCCCTTTGCGCCGGGTTGTCGGTGCAGGGAGAGCCCATTCTGGTTGGAGAGGATGACGACACGGTAGCCCTCGTGATAGATGCTCCGCAGCTTCGCCGGCACGGCGGTGTCCCACCACTTCCAGTCCACGGGGTCGTTGGTGAACTTCTTGCCAGAGGCGGAGGTTATCAGGGTGGAGTCGAGGTCGAAGGCGGCGACCTTGGTCCTCTTGCTGCCCTTCTCGATCTCGGGTGGCTCCTTGGCAGCGCCACTGCCCTCATAGCGTCCGACAAGGAGGGTTGCTGGCGAGTCATCGTCTGGGGCGCGTTCCGACCAGGCAACTCGAGGCTGGTCCTTCTTCTGGGAGGCGGGCTTGAAGAAGTTGGCAACTGCGCCGTCTGGCCCAGACTGTGTCAGTTTACAGCCAGGCATGAGAGGGCTAGAGGGCTGAGGGCTTGGGGGCACACACTGGTGACGGTGCTCTGGACCTTGCGCTTGACTGGGGGCGGGGAGATCGAGGGGTCGTTGTCGTCGCCGTCGTCGGGCGCAGTGCGCTGCCGCTTGGATGAGGACATTGTGTGGGCGTGGGCGTGCTGGGAGTGATTGTGGCCGAGGCTACTCAGGCGGTTCCAGCCGAACAGGGTCACGAGACGGAAGCATTGCCGCCTGGTGGGTTGCATCAGTGGTCGAGCGTACCTAGGTAGCATGCACGGTGGACAGGCAGGTGCTTGCCGCCATCCTGCTGCGACAACGCGTCAGACGCGTTGAGAGTGGTAGCCCTAACCCTAGATTTGGCAAGCTCAAACATTGAATGGAAGGGGGGGGGGCACATCAGATGGCTAGGACCAAGTCACTGACCGTGACAACCAGGGCAGAGCTCATTTGTCACCGTCTTGACTCTTGAGTAGTCCAAACAATATGACACAATACTGATGATCCAAGTCCTCTACGGCTTCCCACGAAAACCCATGGCATTGTTGGAGAATAAGCTCTGGCACGCTGTCGTTGCTCGTCTGGGGATCGAGCAGCTTCCTTCTTAGCCTTGGCAACAAGGGCCATAATCCGGCCGCGGGTCGTGTTAGAGTCTGAGTGCAGAGGTTGGTCGTCCGGGCCAACTTGAGGCACATTTTGCTCAACCGGCTGCGCTTTGGCGGTTTCACCGTTTGTAGAAGTGGTCATAGTCGCGGAAAAAGTAAAGAGGGATGCCAATATTCGTCTTGGATAACCGACAAGTACTACGATATGTATGATGAAGGACGGAAGAGAAGATGGATGCTTTCGCCGTGTGCTAAGATGGGTGGGGATTGATGGAGGCGCTGGCTCTAGCGGGGAAACTACTATGTAAACCTGCAGAGAACACAGACTCTTTTATATCCGGAGGAATATAAAAAACACAGACGAGAATAGGCAGATACACCGCAATACCCACAGTGGAGTTTGGTCTCCCAGCCTGGCTCATGCGTTTGTCTTGCCAGTGGTTGGGAAAGTCCTGCGGGACGGCGAGCGAAATTATGACCGTGGCCATGGCAGTAGCTGGTACACTGGTTCATACTTAGTAAGTCGGCCTTTACCAGTTACGTCCAATAAGGCTTTAGCTATATTATATTTTTTATTTAACTATTTATCTATTTATTATCTTCTTAGCTTTTAGATTAGTTATTAGCTTATATTTTAAGTATAAAGTTAATAATTACTTAATATATATTTTTAAATTTATTTATATATAGAGTTATTAACTTTCCCTATAAAGTTCCCTTTTTTATTATATTCTTTGTGTGTTGTGTAGGAGTGAATAAATCCTTAATAATAAAGTAGTATACTTAAAAAAAGAAGATTTAATTTTTAAATATTTAAACTTTTACTTTTTTTATATAGTATTTATTTAATATATAGTAAATAAACTTTATTTAACTTTTTAAAAAAGTTTTAATTTTTTTATAAAGTTTGTGTAGAGAGGTTTTTTTAAATAGGTTTATTGTTGTGGTGTTGTTATTCTATTAATAGTTATATATTTAAGATAAGGATTATATTAACTTATTTAATAAAAGTAGATTTAAGTAATTATTAAATATATTAATAGAGAAAAATTAACTTATTAAGTCTTATATTATAAGATTCTTTTTCTTATAAAAGCTATTTTAAGACTATTTTAATCTTATTATATAACTACTTTACTAACTTTCTAATATAGTATTATTAAGAGTAATACCTTTTAACCTTATTTATATAATATAAAGTTTAACTATATACCTATATATTATATTCTCTTTTTACTATTATTAATACTATATTTCTTTAGATGCTAAGTCTTAAGTGTTTACCACTATATAAAGGCGCCACGTATATTTTATATATATGGGGATTAAAAACGAAACCACGTCCAATGAAATATGATGCCTGATGGTGGTGGTGGTTGAAAGGCAAACCCTCCAGCCCCGGCCAACATGGCGGGAAGATCGCTCTTTTTGGTGCTTGAGGTCAGCGAAACGCCGTGATGCGCCGTTAAAAAGAGATATCGATACTGGACTTTGTCTTCAGTTTTACGAGGAAGGCTCGATTGCTGGAAGGATTGTGTTGTCATATAATATAATTATTACAGTTATATGTGAAGGATCTCTAGTGCTAGGCTCAAAAGGGCATGTAGCATGCCGCTGTTATGCGCCACGTTGTCTGTTGGTGCTTTGGTGCTGTCATGGGGCTGTGCGGCTGTATACGGGCTGGTATGGTACTCACCAGCCAAGGTCGCATGTAGGCACCTCCAAGTGGTGCCGGTTGGGTGACGTCCTGCGATGGGCGCTCCTACAAAGCAAAAGCGGTGGACCGCACCCCATGTCCGCGTTCTTTGCCGAAGAAGATCTAGTGTTTATGTGAAAGACCACACATCATCTTGCAAGTCATCAGCCCAGAACTTATGTGCCTGTTATCGGTACTGCTTTCTATTTCCTAGCTGAAACCATGTCATCAACTTCGCAGAAGGCGGCGCCCAAGTCCGGCACTCCTCTCGCTTTCATGGAAAAGCTATCGTTTGCGGTCTATTTTTATCGCCCAACGACGCCTTCACATCCCTCTCCAGCGAAGGATCCCGAGCTTGTGCTCGTCCTGGGCTGGATGGGTGCGCGCGACGCTCACCTAGTGAGATATATCAACCAGCATCGCCTCATGTATCCTTCTTCGGCTATACTCCTGGTGAAGGGACGGCTCGCAAGCCTAGTATTTCCTCACATAGGGCGACGCGATACGTCACCCGCAGTCGAACCGATCCTCGCCACCCTGGCAGATCACGAGCGCAGCGGAGCGCCTCAGCTCACGGCGCGTCCTCGCCTGCTTATCCACTCACTGTCGGGAGGCGGCTCCTGCTCCCTATATCACCTCTACGACCATTTCCCGTGGCGAAGCCGGCATCGAGCAGATGAACAGGGATACATAACTGACGACAATCAGCCACTCTCATCTCTACCCCAACACATTACCATCTTCGACTCCAGTCCCGGTGCCTGGAGTTACCAGTTCAACGTTGACCTCCTCACTGCTGCTATCAAGCTGGGTTGGCAGCGGATGATGTTGCTGCCCGTGGCGCATCTTGTTGCCATGATCTTCTGGATTTTGATTCGTTGCTGTGGTCTGCCCGATAACCAGAAGACATACGCGACAGCACACAACGACCCACGAAAGAATCACGAGGTCTCTCGAACGTATATTTATGGCAGTGATGACAAGATCTGCCCAGCAAGGTTTGTTGAGCTTGACGCAGTCGAGGCGAAGAACAAGGGCTTCAAGGTGCAGCTGGAACGTTTTGAAGGGTCTGGACACGTTGCACATATTCGGACAGACCCGGATCGATACTGGCGTATTGTTAAGAAGGCGTGGGATGTTTCTTCTAGTTTGTGATCATAATACGGTGCTTTATCATTTTGTTCTATATCCGCATCTCCAGTCTCACCCGCGCCTCCAAGTTGTTGTGGGGCACACTTGCCGTCAACCTCATCAACTGGATCACCTGGTTTTTCATTTCTAACTTCTAATGTAGACTTCGTGTAGTTTAGTCACCAACCGGGGAAAGAGAAGATGAGCGAGTCAAATTAGTAGCGGTCGGGGAAGGAAGGGGTGTCAATACTATAGTTATTACTTCTCGTAGTTCTCATCTTAATGATCTGTTCACTAAGACGAGCCGTGAATAGCCTTTATGTCAAACGCCTGTGGCCATGAGACGCTATTTTACTAAGGAGCGGCATAAATGACTTCGCAAGGTCTATCTCAGGAGAACATGAATTAAGTGTCGTCCCACAGATATGAAACCATGTATTCAATGTCAACAGTCCCAACTGTATTACACCCTATCCTGTAGCAGCCATTCGTCCAGAAACTGAACTGCCTTTTCAACCGCCTTGGCCGCCTCCTCTTTCCACCCAATCATGGGTGCCAGAGTGAGGATGTCATGGGGTGCATGTGCGACTTCATACGTCCCAACGCGGGATTTCGTCCCGCTGCTGATATGCCGGGACTGGGACGACTCCTGCACCTTTACGAAGTTCTTGATCTCTGGCACCAATACTTCGGCACTGCCCCACTGTACCCAGATCGGAACTTTGGTGGGAATACCGGCGGTGACGGGCGAGATATACGGGTTGCTACGGGCAACCCCTGCCTCAGCGCGTGGGAGGAACTCCCGATACGTCCAGGCGATGAGCTGCGGCGCCACATGGTCGACGTGAGTGGCGGGACGATCGTCGGCGACATCGACCTCGATCATCATGTCAGGCCACGGGCTCCAGAGCAGCAGGGCCGCGGGCTCCGGCAGGATATCCGGATTGGAGTTGGCGTAGCGCAGCAGCGCAATCGCGAGATGAGCTCCGGCCGAGTCGCCCGACAGAACGATATCCTGTGGGGGGATCTGCAGCTCATGGACGAGATAGGAGTAGGCCGTGACCGCGTCCTGGAAAGCGGCGGGGAACCGACCATCCGGCGCAGAGGAGAGACGATACTCTGGGCAGAAGATTGCGCACCCTGGGCTTGACCGTAGCAGCAGAGAGCTCATGAACCTGATGCCTATATCACGGCCGTCTCCTATGACGTAAGCACCCCCGTGGACGTGGAAGAAGACGCGCTGCCCTCTTCGGTGCTGCCCCGGACGGGTGATGGGTTCAGTGTGCCAGACCGCACCAACGAGGCCTGGGCGAATCAGCGGGTCGCAAAGCAGGATGTCACGATACAGCTCGCTCCTAGCAGGCTGCGCAATGACAAAGCGGTCCTTCTCGTTTCCCGCCTGGAGGAGGGGCGGCGGTTTGAGCTCGATCTTTGCCACGAATTTCCCGAAGTACACGAAGAGTGTGCGGCTTAGCGATTGCCGAAACGTCCAGGAGGAGTTTGGACGCAATGATGGGAACAGATAGAGGGTAGACAGCCAGGGCAATCGCAGCAACGTGAATGCCACAAAGAAGGCTGTGTACAGAGCCGTGCCGGGCTGGCGAGTCCAGAAACTTGGCATGGCGTGTGGCTCGGCTGACGCTGTCTTCCTTGGTTGAGGTTGGGGGAGAGGCTGTAGGGCGCTGAGAATCTGAGAACAGCTAAAAGGTAATGAACGAGTATGTCGGGGACGCCCGGCCGTTAGGGGTGGGCTGGAAAAGGCCGAGAATATCTCCTTCCCAAGTCTTAGAACAAAAGGCCCATGCATGGCCCAGACTTGCCAAGACCGAGATTTGCCTCGTTTTGCTACCGTAAACAAGGCTGTACAGTTGACTTACTTACCTAGGTACATACCCTAGGGTATGTCCTGCAATGCATCTGACAATTGAAGACATATATGTCTAAAATATGGGTTCCAATAGTGTACTCTGTACTCAAATGCTTATATAGTATTATCAGGCAGTCAATTAATTGGCCCCCACGGCTTGCCGGCCATCTTGTTATACAGCCAACCACTCTGCACAGCGCTTCAAATAGCCTTAGCAGATCTGCTTCGAACCGTCAACATTGTGCCATCTACTGGGGCTGGAAACTCATCCGGTGAGATTGCCGCAGCTTAAGTTTTTATTCTCCCAATATTAGCCGCGTCTTGTGATCGCATGTTCAAACAGTCATACAAACGTGACTATCTCAGGGGAGGGCAAGCACACTGATCATATAAAGGCAATGCTGTGTAAAATAGGCAGCATCTTCAACAGAAGGTTGAAGGGCGACGTCGCCTATCACTCGTTCCAAATGAACATAATCTCAAACGACTATGTGAAGCAGGTCAAACTGATCGAGCCGGGGTTCGCCCTCTCTCATGATATTTGCAGTGAGAGCATCGTCATAGTACCATCCGTCACGGGATAAGCAATATCGGCTCAGACGCTCTGCTCGCCTCAATAATGGGCCAGGAATACTACATCCATGGTACGTTGGACAGATGCCATGTCGACAATGTGTGATCTTGAATTCCAAGATCCAGATTCAGCGACTACAACACTAAAAGTTGGTTCTCATGCAGCTCTTCAAGCCTCTTCCAGAGCCATTATCAAACCCCTTGGCAGGTCAAACAGCATTCACTACATTCCATTGTTGGCACGGAAAGTTTCAGCTGTAATACAAAGCCACCTCGACGCTGCTGGGTAAATGCACTGGCATTGCGCTGCATGTGGTCATCCAGTGGACCCTTATTAATGCAGCAAGCAGGTCTAAAGAGGAGAAGTATCCTCTAGAAGTACTCACAACTCTGCCAGAGTATCCTTTCAACCACAGCAGGTCTTACTGGCACGAGAGTCGGATAAGCAGGGGATACCAATTTCGCCCGTGTGGCTGGAATGAGCTCCTAGGGATGTCCGAATCCGATTGATTGGAACGACCTTGAGGCTAAGTGGCATCATACTATATTATCATAATAATGAAAAATAATATAAATTAGAATAATAATAATTCTACTACTAATTTCTATTAATAAAAAAATTAGTTAATTAAAGAAATATAATATACTAACTTATAATGTATTTAATGTGATTATATTAGTACTACTGATGTAATATAGGTACTTATTTAGTAGATGGCTGGACTGGACCGCCTCGTCTGTTGCGGGTGGCGGGAGCCGGGCACTCCGAAGTCCGAGCATTTCAGTACATCACGAGGCTGAAAATGTGCCCAATGTGCCCCTCAATGTACCCAATGCCGCGACCACTCCTAATCACTTAACAATTTTGCTGCCATCATTTCGTTCGCACCCCGGTAAAATCTCTTCCCCAACAGCTTCCAGCGATCAACATACAATCATCTCTAATCCTCCATGCTCATCACTGCATCACTCAACAGGGCCTTAATCAGGGCTCAGTAAACAAGTCAGCCTTGCGCCGCCGATATCTCACACAACAGGCTAGAAATTCGCCGGTCGATCTTCCACATCACAACAACAGAGCTACACATCAATTGACTGAGTTTCTCCAACGTGCCCAGGTGGCAAGCAACCTATCTTAATGCAATGTGACGACATTATGCCATTAGCGGATATTTTGAATATCCCGTGCCCGCCACCGGTGGCTTCGCGGCAAAAACGGCCAGCCTCAGACATCTTGATGCACTCCTATAATCGGCGGATGTTTATTTCATTCATTCTAGGAGTGTCTGGACCTGCTACCCGTCTGGGCGGACAGACATCCGAACTTCCGGAGTAAGGAAAGTGGCCTGGGAATTGGAGCCCGCTCTCGAATTCAATCTTCACAAGTACTCTCCTATTCCCCTTCTTCCGTCATCAACGGTAGGTGCATTTACACACAATAGCGAGCCACCCAATCCTTCTCAATTATCAGCAACCCATCAACTCCTGCAGGCTATCAACCACGTGCAATTTATGGGGTGATGTCTTAGCATCATCGTGCCCAATTTACAGTGGCCAAAGAAGAGTTTGGGAGCACAGCGATGGTGCCGGAGGCCCCCCCCCCACACACACTGAATATGCAATTCATGGTAATCGCATATCTCTAAACTTCCCCTCTCGCAGCGATGGAACACTAATAAAACCCGTCGACCCCGGGCTTGTGCAAGAGCAAACAAAGGCTGTTGACGCGTCAACTTCCGCTTCCCCACACCACGTTGCCTCCATCATCACATTCGCCTACTTGTCGTCCTCGTTTGTCGCACTCAACTTCGGATCACCCAAGTGAACATGAGCATCAAGCGCAAATCTAACTTGCCACGACTTTCGTCGTCGGACAACGCGGGTGACAACGCCGACAACAACTCTGAAGATGGGTTTCCGGGGGGAGGCAACGCAAATGGGGTATACCCAGACGACGATGGAGCTGCGCATGATCCCAAACTACCCTGGCACCCCATACTAGGACCCAAGGAGAAATCAGAAATGTTGTTCCACGTTCGTGGCACCTATTCAAACTGGGGCCCCAGAGAAGCCTATCGCGAGCTGGTTCAGAATTGGTATGAGCATTCGAAATTTCCCATTCCGGACCTTTTTCACCTGCATTCACTTTATCACCACATCCTAAGCAGTCTACGCAGGCGCGACGCGATCATCGAGTCGAACGAACTCGACCCACGAGACTTTTGCGTGACATACCAGGCGATCCCTCCTGGCTGCTCAGGGAAAACTGAGATTGTCTACAAAGCTTTCGTCAGACATCCGGACAACGAAGCAGGGTGTCTGGGCTTCATCCGCTACATCGGCGAAGATGGTGTTGGAACTATAGAACTCTCGAATCTGAGGGCCACACTATATCCCGGCCACCTCGACTTCGGTGGTACGACAAAGACGGGGCGTCAAAACCAAGCAGGAGCCCACGGAGAGGGTCTCAAGCTGGCCGCAATGATCTTGATGCAGAGCAGCAATCACCACAGCGTGTTTATTTGCTCCGGTGGTGTCAACTACACATTTAACTTCAACAAGATAGGAAAATTGGTTGCCCGACTGTATCGTAACGACAAGACTGAGCCTCATCAACAGCTCAAAACATTGCGCATTCCGACACCTGCCGTCATGCCGATGGGCGATGTTCAATTCATTATTGGAAAGAAGAAGCCAGGCCGGAACGAACGGGGCATTCTAGACCCCAAGCGACCTCGAGTTCCGGTCAAACTGGCAGACTTCCAGTCTTGGTCAGAGGTCTCATTGGATCTTATCAAGGCCAAAATTGGCGATCAGAGTATCATCTATACCCCTTACGGTGATCTTCTTACATCTCCAGACTTTTGCGGAAAACTGTACCTCAAGGGGCTTCTGCTACGCGAGAGTACCGAATCCTGTTCAGCGAGCATGACTGGTTTTCGTCTCGTTTTTGGGTACAACTTCGCATACGGGAAGACTAATCGTGAGCGACAATCAGTTGCTAACGCGTATGAAGAGGCGAGCAGCTATGGCAGGATTTTATGCCATGCTTTGCTGGCCAAGCCGGATTTGGCCGGCAAGGTCTGTGATCACCTTAACTCTACCGAACCTCAGTATGCTGAAGCACAGTGTGCTACACACCTCTGGTCTGAAGATTCTGCGCGCTTGTTCAAGCCGCATCTTCTTCGTGGGGAATTTGCGGATCGCTGGTTCTACTGCAGACAAGAACAGTTCGAGGTAATAGCTCTTCATGGTTTCTATTCCAGCCCGATTACAGATGGAAACTGATCTCTTCAAGAATCCCAACCTCGTCCAGATCGTTAGAAGCATGGGCCGGCAACCTTTCGAGCTGACCGATAGGCTATGGGGGATCCTAGTACAACATGACCTCGTCTACACCGCGGAGGAAGAGGGGAGGCGGCGATACGAGAAAGCTCCGACAACACAAGTCCCGAATACCAGCTTTGCGATATCTATGCACCGTCTCCTGCGGGCCTGCTTCCGCGCCTGCCCCCAAACCTCCACGATGAGGGTCGAGTTTGCTGATGCTGGCGAAATCTGTCTCGACATCTACGTCTCACAAGCCGAGCCGCTGACACGTATCCATCAGCGATGGCTTTATATCGAGTCTGCAGTCACAGAGTTAGGCCTTGTTGGAGATGTGTCGGAGGCTGAGACCGTCGAGCTGACAGTGAAGAGACTTTTTGGTGATGTGCTTCATCGCTTGCCACGAGAGGCATTCTGCCAACAGGAAATCTCGAGGTTGCCTGAGTCGCTTTTGAAGCAGGAATATCACCGAGCAGAGCAGCGATTGGCTAAATACCAGCTGACACAAGCGCGTATTGTCGAAGAAGGCAATATGGAGAGTTCAGGTTACGCAGTGAAATGGGCAGTCAACACCTCACGCCAAGACGACGAGTCCAAGCTCGAGATTCACTTCCATCAAGTGTCTACGTGCGCTACCTTTCGGGACGACTACTTTATTGCAGCAGATGGTATGTGTGGTCTACTGGTTCAGAGTGATAACTCGTCCATTTTCGCTGTTCTGAATTCCTGCTAATTTTGAAATATTGTTGACAATTAGTTAATCTTGACAAACGGCATTGCCCATGTTACGATGAAGACACTGACCCAGGATCCCAAGACAAGCCCGCTACTGATAACCCAGACACAGGCAAGCGCCCTTGTCAGATTCTCCGAAACGTTCGCCCAAAAGACTCAGGATACATATCTGGGATGGAGGTTGGCAAGGAATATTTCTTTGCATTGGTGATGCCAGAAGACCCCGATTCCTTCGTCAAGATATCCAACACAATCCGTGTGGCTGCGAGACCGAGCCATCGTCCAAATGCTTCTATCAAAGGGGTCAACAGCAACTCGATGGCAGCGCAATCTGATGTGGGGCCTGACGTCTCTCCCATTTCGTCCCCGTCCCCTTCGCCCTCTACAGCGCTAGAGCCTCACAATGAGCTTCCCCCATATCAAGATGACAGTGAAGAACATGAGGTCATCGAGGTGGAATCTACATACGATGGATCCATCTCTAGATCAGGACCTGACCCAGAGAGAATACTCAATGGTGTCGGGCCCCTAGCTCGCCGGCGTGATAGAGTGGAAGAATCACGGGTGATTCCTAGGCCGCCAAAACAGCAAGGAGAGAATATCGAACCAGGCTCATTTTGTGAGTTATCTTGTCTTTTCCATAAGTAGAACTTCGATATACTAAAACATTGGTATCCAGCTCTTGGACCTCGACTTGACTCCAATGCCGTGGGATTATTGGAGCTTGCTGTCGAAAAGCTCAAATGGCACAAGGCTGAGAATTCCGACGGCATGCAGGCATGGATCGGCATAGGCAAACAGGGGAACAGCTTCCTGGAAGGGTCGAGGAAGCGCCCTAGAATAGGTTGAGTCGTTGCACCAGAGTCGAACGGATCCACGGGGGTTTCCATTCACAATTTTACATTCTCGTGGCTAGGAATTTATGTAATTTAATTGTTCAATTCTTCCCTCACCTATTGTATTATAACTATCGTTATCGCCATCGTGTGTCCTTTTAAGTGCTGGGTTTTAAGCGCTTACCACCGTATGAAGGCGCCATGTATGTCCTCGGACGTATACGGAATAGAAGCGAAACCACACATATAGAAATGTAGGTGTCGCCTTCATACACTGGCAGTGGTAAACGCTCAAGACCGGGAGTTGTGGGGAAGTTTCGGTATCAAATTCGGCCTCGGAACAGATATAATACATTGGATTGGGGTATGTCTCCACCGGTGCTTCTGTGTGTTATGAACAGGCTTGGTAAGAAATAAGCACCGGGTAACTAGAGTTTTACCGCTGGGCGTGCATGGCCCAGGGTTGTAGTGGCAGCCCTCGAGGAAATGCCGAGGCCGAAGGAATACCGAAGAGCCAGCGAAGACAGGCAGTGGTGCGTACCATGCGGGCACGTTCTTCAATACTGTCTATATAAGTATCCGGGTCGGACACTGCCATTGCTGGCCAACCTGGGAAAACCTGCTGTTACAATATTGAATAGTGCTGGCCAGTGGTGTATCAGTTGACGTACCCGAGGGTAGGTATACGCTTTCGGGCTTAAAGGTGACGTACCCGAGGGTAGGTATACGCTTTCGGGCTTAAAGGCAACGGATCCTACGGATGTACCAAGTGATAAGCCTGCTTACCCGAGGCTCGGAATCCGGAATCCGGGATCCGGGAGACATGGGCATAAGCCCCGAATATACACTACCTGTGTATATCGTAGAATACACAGGCACACCATAGCCTCCTCTCACAGCAGCTCATTTGAAGGCCAGTGTGGAGTGGGCTATAGTTATTAGCTATGAGCTATGAGCTATTAGCTGTGCAGGTCCAAGCCAGGGTGATAGGTCCAAGTGCTACACTACATCATCCGGTGGAGATAGTCCGTATTTGTGAGTGGTGGCCAGAATTGTGAGTTATAAGTTATAACCTATGACGGACTGATCAGTGGGCAAAATTAGTGTTGTGGATGGTCGACACTGGCCCGGGCCGGTGTGAGGCTAATAAGAGGGTGATGTGATGTGATGTGCAAGCCACCTCGGACCGTGTCGGTACCACAGGCTGTAGGGCAGTCTAATGATAATAAATTTGTCTAACATCAAGTGGGACGGGCATGGTTCGTTAATCCCAAGCTTGTTATCGGGCGGAGGCGGGGACAGGCGCGGGGCAGGGACCAGTGCATTGGCCCCGATTGTGCCCCATCCGTGCTGACGAGTAATCTGAATGTGTCTGCCAGTACGTACACATCTCGTTATGGGATGATGTGCCCGAGGAATGGCGTGTTTTTGGCTGTCTTGGGCCCGTGCTGCTGCCCCGAGCTTCGGAGTTTGGGGGGGGTTTGGGGGGGTTTGGGGGGGATTTGGCTGTAGCTTTGGCTGGGTGCAGATGTGGGTCATGCCATGGAAAGTCCGTTTCTCGGGGCATGGGGGCGCCATGGGCAAGGGCTGGCAGGTGCGCAGGAACGAAAAGGAAAAAAAAAACCAACCAAGAGAAAGTCTACTGTAGTGCTCCGGAAGCTAGGCAAGCTCATGCCTGAACATGCCTGCGTGCATGCACACACAGCCAGCAGTGGGCTGGTATGGGTGAAAAGTGGGCCCACTCCTGCCTGCACCTGCCCTGCTCGGCGGCGCTGGCCTGCCATTTCCCCAAATTCCAAAATCCGAAAACCGCCCGGCGGTTCCTGCCTGCGCTCTAGCTTGTGACGGTGCTGTAGAAAGAAAGTACTTCCGTGACCGTGCCTACCCTTTCACATTTCAAATTACTACCTCCTCCTCCACCTCCTTCAACCTTCTTGCGACCCCAACTTCCTCCCCTCTGCCACCTTTTCTCTTGTATCTGTCTCGTCTCTCGTCCTTCAGGATATCTGCCAGTCTCTTCCACAGTCCCACATCGTAACCGACTACATCTTATCTCCCGTGATTACCAATTCCACACACGCCCGCCCGGTTTCTTGACGCGACAGCAACAACGCTCCCGAGACCACTTTGTCCTTGACGCACGCAAACGCTCGCCAACAAAAAAAACACCACAACACCATCGCCCAACAGTCACGATGTTTGCCACCAAGGCCCTCCGTCAGGCAGCTGCCCACGCCGAGCGTGTCCCTTCCATCCGGTTCATTGGAAAGCGCTCCATTCCCGGTACGTCATCATCATCACCCCCCTCGGCCACAACAGGCTGCTCAGCCTCCATTCTCAAGACCCCAAGCTGACCTCCCCTGCCCCACCACAGCTTCCGTTGACCACAGCCCCCGGCCTCACCCGGCCAGCCCCAGCGGCTCTCTCCCCGCCGACTTCTCCTCCAGCTCCCACCACTCCTTCTCCGAGTACCGCCAGCGCTCCCAGCAGTACGGGCCCCTCCAGAAGACCTGGGCCCGCACCGCTGAGGGCGGCATCGGCGGTGCCTCGGGCTCTGCTCTCCCCTCCATCGAGCCCGCCAAGGGCTTCTTCTTCGACCGCGACGAGCTCCCCGCCCGCTTCCGCAGGTCCGTCTGGAGCGCCGAGGAGATCGAGGCCATCGAGAGCGGCGGCGCCTCTGCTTTCGCTTGAGTGAGAGACACGTCCCGTCGTGGCTCTGATTTTGTTGGATCACATTTTTTCTTGACCAACACCCGCCATTAGAAGAGCAGCATGGCTATCCCTACGCAGTGGACGGTGTCACAGTGGATTGTTACCCTGGCGCGGCCGAGGCTGGACAGCAGTTCCGAAAGGTCCTGTCCTGTCTGTTGCGTCTGTCCCTGCTTCTGACGACAGGAATGGGGCCGAGTCGGCAGTATCGGGAGCCCGCAGCTTCTGCGGGCACAGACTCATGGTATGGGTCGTGCGGTCGTCCTGAGATGGTGACCGCCCTATTGCTTGGATCGTGCAGGGCACCACTGGATTCTGGGTTTTTGTTGGCAGCATAGAGCGGCACGAAAGCCTGCGTGTTGCACGGTTGGCGCAAGTTTTGGACATGCCCTCAACCCCTCAATGAGGCGTCGAGGGCACAGAGGCGCTACCTGGGAGGTTTATGCTAGTCGCCGACTGCGAGGATTATAGCCTGAATATTATGCTGCTCTTCACCTACACCGGCCCTGTCCCCTCACTGCTTGCTTATCTTGTTGGTCCTTGTGAGCTTTGGACTGTACTAGCCCTTGTCAGTCTCCCTGTCTCCCTGTCTCCCACAATCCTCACAATCCGGCGTCGCCGGCTGCTTCGCAATCTGAGGATGCCCGTCTGACTTGCTGCTAGCCTCCAAAACAACTGTCGCCTGGCTCACGGTGCGACATCAGGTAGCATATCAGATCGAGCCTTGCGTTACAAGATACACGGCCGGCCTGCAACCATATACCAAGAGAGCCATTGCTACTGCATCATCATGGTCATTCATGCCCAACACCCGCGGACTAGACTGCCTCGTAGTAACGTTTCCGCTCACCCCTGCGGTCGTCCTCCACCGGAATGGTCTCCAGTTCCACCTGAGACCACGCGTCCGCATCCCGATCCGACGCCGTCAACATTGTGATCGGGTACTTGTCAATGCTCCGACGACCGCCCAGCCCGCCCGGGTACTGCTGCTGCATGCCGTTGCCAGACCCGCCGCTGAGCTTTCGGCGCCGGGCGGCCGCCGACTGGAGGCACGCGGCGCCGCCCACGTACCTGATGAGGAACATCTTGGCGCCCGGCATGCAGGCCACCATGACCCCGACGGTGATCTCTATGTATGACCAGGTCACTGTTGCGAAGTAGTCTCCTGTTGTGTGGGTACGCTACTGTCAGTTTCATCGGGGGCCTCGAAAAAAGAAAAAAAAAAAAAGAAAGAAAAAAGAAAAAAAAAAGAACGGGTTTGTAGGTAACTGGGCTGGCTCACTGGTCGGGTTCTCCGTGTTGGCGAAGCGCACCAGCGTCTGTATGCGGGCGATGCTCGCCAGGGTCAGGCTGCGGGCGAAAAAAACAAGCAGTCAGTTTCTGCGGATCAAATGGGACTCGTCATGCATGACAGTCGTGTAAGTAGTACGTTGGGGGGGCAGGGCAAAACCCACAAGATTCCAATGCCAAACATGAAAAAAACCACAACCTTCTTCTTGACCTGCATCGTCAGGCTCCACACCTGCGTGGCCGGGATGACGAGCATCCAAAAGTCGAGCGCGATGTTGATGGCCGAGTGCGCCCACGCGAGCGCGTTGATGTTGAAGCAGCTGCCCCCCGCGTGCAGGCCGTCCCAGGACTCCCAGAAGAAGCTGACGGGTCGGCACTGCAGGAAGTCGGCGAGGAGGAAGCTGCCCACCAGCAGCAGATTAAAGACCTGCGTCGCCCACACGGCGAGGCGGATCTTCTCGTCCGGGAAGATGCGCAGGTACAGGAACAGGATCGACGTCTTGATCAGCCCCAGCGTCAGCGTGTAGAGCACCTCGAAGACGAAGAAGACCTTGAGGAACTCGGTGATCTGCCACGGCTCCAGCGTCCAGATGTCCCGGCCCAGGCCGTTGCGCTCCTCGAGGATGCTCCCGGCGAGCCAGCCGCCTGTGAGGACCTGTGTGCAGTACACCCCCGATTAGTTACTTCCAAGGGCGAGATGGATGACATGTGGTATATGCTAACCCCGGACATCACGATCGTCGTGTCGTCGTGGCCCCACGGGGCAAGTCTTAGAGCCCTGGATGCTAATCGCATGGCGAAGAACAACAGCCCCACGAAGAACAGGATGTATCTGAGGACATTGATGATGATCGTCTCGTTCCTGACTGGCAAGCCACACGTGGTCGAGGTGACATTTCTGACGGCTGGCGGTAAATAGTTGTTAGTTATAGTCAAGTGCTGCGCCTGAAGCTGTGCCCACCATATACTCACCGAGAGACTCTATCACGGAGCAGCTGGCCTTCACACACAAGTTCACAAAGTTCTCGAACCCTGTGTCAGAGCAGAGGCACGCCTGGTCTGTAGGCGAGCACTGTGACACCGGCATGAAGTCTGCGATGCATTGGAGCTGTGTATCTCCTAGTCAGCAACCTGTCCTCCATACCTATCCAACGCGCATACTGAAAGCTCGTGTTGAAACTTACACCACACGCAGGCATAACCTGTTGGTCCATCTTGTGTACATGTGTAGTCCGTCCGCCGCCGTAAGAATACTGCTATTTGTGAAATAAACTCAGAATGTTAGCCTCGGGGTTGCCCGTCTCACAGGGCGAGTCCTGTCGCGGAGAGATTGCGATATGTACGGCCTCTAGTCATGTGCGAAAATAAATGGAAGTCTAAAAGTTCATGATGAACATCAGCCCAATATCATGGGCAGCACCGGCTGAATAGATACTACAGTCCAGCGAGCGGAAAACGGGGTTAGGACCCCTCATCCGAACGATCTCAGTCGCGATTAGGAAACCTGATGAACGATACATGACCTCCTCTTCCATTATCAGTAGGCGATGTCAGGGGAAGCCTTGGAGTCGCAAATTGGGCTCCTCGGACGAACCAGGGGCGGACGTGCACAGCCAGAGACGTCACCAACACCACATATCTACACCGTAGACATGGGGTCGTGAGCATTGGAAGATCTTTTCCCCAACCTCAATCGCTTGGGATTTCCGCTTGGGCGATGGGGCCTTGCGAGGGCTGAAAAGGAGCGTGCACCTGGGCAAAGGGATGTTCGGGTGGGCTGGCGGGCCAGTTTGCGGGCTGCAGTGAGGCTATAAAGCACCGCCAGTAGCACCGCTGTCTCGGAGAAACGAAACTTAGCCCACACCACTGTATGAAGGCGCCGTGTGTGGCTTCGGACGTAGACAGAATAGAAACAAAACCAGTTAGCCCAGCCCCTGGTTGGATTTGACATGTACACGGGCCTTCGCGATTCGCAGCAACAACACACACTATGCTGAAATAGGTGTAGAAATACCTGAATTTCCTGTCTAATTATAGTCTCCTTAACAACGTGGCACTCTCAGCTTTGAATCTTGAAGGCCCGTGCTCATGTCGAATTCAACGTAGGGGGCTGGCTACCCGGGGGTCAGACCTTCGGTTGCCCCCTACCTAGGTACGCCGCCAGCAGTGGGTGAGAAAGAACCGAGACCCACGGATAGGTTTCGTTTCTCCGACACAGCAGTTGCCGTGGCGGGTAGTGCGACCGATTGCAAACATTTGAACCGGTCAACTGGTGCTTCGTGCGCAAAGATTCAGACCTGCCGCTACCTAGGTACTCTCCAACACAACACTGAGGCTGCCTTGGTTGGCATAGGCATGTGAATCGCAAATACTAGTGTAGACAGATGCGCAAATTTAAACTTTCCATGAACGCCATATTAGCGCTCTTGCTCCTCTTTTTTCCCCGGCTACTGGATCGCACGGGGAGCCAAGCTGGCCCGGTTAAACGTTCCCGTTCATAAGAGGCATTTAAGAACTCGGGTGATTCTGCTCCTTTCGAAGTATGACCATAGCCAAGTTACTCAATCTATGGAGTCCCAACTGAGACGTCTGAAGAAACAAGGAGCAGTCTGGTGTCAGCTTCAACTGAGCGCTGCCGTCGTTTCTGCTTCAAGGGTCGCTGTGGCTGTGGCTTAATAATGTTAGGCTATCTCGCGGGGATAAAGGAGTGAGCCTCCCGGAGGGGGGAGATCCCGATTCCATTCGAGATAAGGCTGGGCCGTTTATGGATCCATGCTCGGTATTTGCCATTTGGTTCAAAAGCTTGTCGAGCTCGCATGAGTGATGGGAACCGAATTCAAGATGACCGAAAGAATAATTAAATGGGGTTGTGTGTATTGGCTAAGTTCACTCTAGACTAACGTTAGTACTAATCAGGGCGACTCCTCCAGTAGGAGAAGTCCTCCCTCCCTCCAGGAGGTGGACAGGCCACCCCACAAGAACTTGGTATTTTAGTTATTATTCACACTAGAGTCTTTTTTCGCCAAGGTTCTACCTACTGGATAGATGTTTTCTTTTGCTTGCCGAACACTGGCTCGCCGAACATTGGGTGTTGCGGCTGCTCCTCTTCAAGGCACTCGAGGTCTAGAACGATCAATCGATACCTTCTACGGATCCCTTGGTTTCCACGGGTTTCCAGATGGGATATTAATAAAAGGGAGGCGGCTGCAGAGCAAGGTCCAGCGAGTTCCAAGTCATCTGTTGGTCACAACAACCCTGGGAAGCCTCCACCAGCTCCGACCGGCAAATTCATGATAGAGATAGGGGGTTCGCGCCCGCAAAAACGGAGGGTACGCAGCTCACAACCTCCAGGGCTCGTATGGTGCAACCTCGTATGGGACAACCTCTCATCTCATAGAGCTAAGACGGCCGATGGTCCGCCACTCCCGAGGTCGCGGAGATGAGTATCAACCAGTAGCCAGGGCACAGTTACCATGAAGAGACGTGTTGATAACTATCTATGACATTATAGCTGGAATTTTGTGTAAGATGTTTTGCTAGGGGAACTAATTTTACTTGGAGGGTGTGATCTTGACGAAATAGTCAGGTTTGGCAGCACAGAATTTGACTTTGCTGGAAGAAATTTGACATTTTGTTTCCGTAAAAAGTGTGTGCCAAGTAATCAATTTAGAAATCCACTTCGAGTCTATTAGTCCTAGTATTGGCGATTATCCACGTCTTGTCGTCACACGGGTAATTCTCGATAGTACCTTGGTCTTGATCGTGGGTGATAATTATCCGAGTAAAGCTAGGTATTATACCTTGAGTCTTGAAGTGTGAATCCGTAAACAGCGAGGTCACATAAATTGGGGCGCAGTAGATACTAGGATGCCTTCCCCCTGAAAATGGCTTGCCCATCCATCATCCACCCATATATCCTCTATTTCCTTTCTTTATGTTGCTAGTTGGTCTTTATTCACATCACACCCGTTTGACACGTGGCAGCCCATTCAGTCCCGGCCCCCAGATAAGATCAAATCGAACTGATGGAATCAGCTGCGTCCCCTGGCCTCTAGTCCCCATGAAAACGGAGGGGCCGTGCCGTTGGACTTATTGCACTGCACTGGCATGTCAAGTCTCAGCACAAGAAGATGGTCTCAATGGCCCCCGCCTCCCCGAGCCATCGGAGGTGATCAGAGTACTTTGTCCAATCATGGCCAAACCACGTAATACCATCTAGCGTGTCTTCAGACTTAGTTGAGTTGTCCGTGCTGTCTGATTCACTCTGAATATCTGGTGCAGCATCAGCGCTCATGTCGAAGGCCTCGGTCGCGGTGTTGTTTGTGAGGCCGAAGCCTGGTACCCCGTCGATGACCCTGTCGTCGTCCGCCTGGACAGCGGCTTGCTCGTTGCCACAATCAGTTGTTCCAACCGTTGAGCCCTCGTTCCATTCGCCATGACCATGGTCTAAAAACTTCGCTGGAAGCCGGATGATGAGGTTGCATGCGCCGACCCTGCGGTAGAGCGGGACATTGGCATCGTCACTAGCCGGCGTGACGACCAGCCCCATGTAAGCAATTATGGGCAAGACATACAGCCTGGAGCTTGCCGCATCTGCGATATGGTCGTCGCTGTCAAATTCAGGATCGTCGGCGTAAAAATCGAAGGGTTTGATACCACCATCCCGGTCTACCTGCCAGAAGCGGTCGCCTTCCTGTTCTGCACCCTCATAGCCGTAGAATGCCTTGCTCAGCCGCCCAGTGATCCTGAGGACCCGATCTAGAGGTACTGCGGATGATGCGCCGCCCAGGCAAGATATGTGCTCGTCATCGCTCGCGGCCGTGGCCGTGACGTAGGTCAACTCGCCCAGCGGCTGCCCCAGGTGGTCAGCGAGCCGGCTGAGCTGAGGCCCGAAGTGCTCCTGGAACCCATCCACGCTCGCCCAGGACCACGAGGGGGCCCTCGTGGGGCGTGTGCGCCAGAACCGGGAACGGTCTGGCGCCCAGGACTTGATTCCTCCCGACCCCGAGTCTGAGGTGCCAGTAATCCAGCGGCTGCCCGCGTGCCAGACCAGGCCGCACGCGAGGTCACACTCCCACAGCCCGTGCAGGTACCTCGAGCCGATCCAGCGCTGGAAGAGGTCGACAAGGCCGCTGATGGCGATGAGCTTGTCTTTCTCTAGCGTCAGCTGGCGATCCGAGTAGTCGAACATCAACAGGTACCACCGTGTCAAGGCGGCCCTCTGGCTTTGTGGGGAGTTGGACAGCAGCAGAGAGGGTTGGTATTGGTGTGCTGGCATGACCGACTGGTACTCAAACCACATGTCTGGATCCCCACAGGCGCGCAGGCGCTTCTCCCTACACAGCCAGTAGTATTCGTATCGCGAACAGTATAGGATGCGCTGGGACAGCAGCCTCTCCTGGAGAGTCCACCCTCGCTTCTGAAGGGGCTCGTGCTCCATCAAATACCTGGCGAATTCGGAGCTCCGGGGATAGATGTGCAGCTCGAGCCCGGGTTGGACGTCTATCGTGGCGCGGTGGTCTTCTGAGAACTTGAGAGGGAAGCACCCCGCGTCCTCGAATGCAGATGCGGCAATGGTGAAATACGCACCGGCATATATGCTGCCCTGTGTTATCACAGAAATCAGCCCTGAGGAAAAGTGTGCTGCACAACAGGGCTCGTACCATTTTGGGCGCCTCCTGTGCCCAGTCATCGTCATCGTCTTGGATGATACACAGGCAATCGACCCAGATATGCCGCACTCCTGCCGTGTGTGTGATCTGGACAGCTTGCTGGAGCGTGAGTGGCAAGGAACCAAAGTTGATGTTCTCCTGGTAGCTGTCGATGTTGAGTGTGGTGGTCCGGATGGATGCGTAATTTCCCCATCGATGGCTCAGCGCAACGTATCTTGTTCCGGCCTCGTTACCTGCAACAAGACGGGTGCGAAAAAGCCCGTCGACTTGCTGGATCTCCAAGAGCCGGGTGGGGGTTGCTGACATTTTGGCGTCTGTTGAACCCTGGCGTGAATTGTTGTGGTCTCTGCAAACACCATGGGCGGAATCGCACTCTCGCAACCACGAATGAAGCACATAGGTCATGTCCTGGCAAGGCGCAGCCTTTCTAAAGCTATTACCCCGGATACTAACGGTTTCGCATCCCTCGATCGCATCGGACGATGATGAATTATCATCGAGTCGGACAGACCCTATACGGTATAAATCAGCAGACAGAGCTTCCGAGTCCTATTCAAGAAGTGAATAATACCAGTCTCCCGGACTACGACTTCTAGAAATCCTTTCCATTCTGGAATGCTCCTGAAACCCCCCTTGGAGGAGGTTTCGGAAGAACTGGTCTCAAAACCGGTCTCAGAATCGGTTTCGCTCGTGTTCTCGTCTTGGTCGAGTCCAACAATGCATCCAGTCAGATCACCACCCGAGTAGAAAGGCCGCAGCCACACATGAGCGTCCGGCGGAATCTCAGTAGGATGGTTCCCGGCAGCGTATCCCTGGGTAATGGCCACCGAGTCTTCAACGGCCTGACAGAGCGCGCAGAAGCTGGCGTGGACTCTCAGCTGGTTATAGGTTTTTTGAAAGGTGTACACTCCCTCACTGAACACGGGGTGAATGACGTGGACGTCACCGACATCTCCCTGTTCAGTGAGACTTGCAGAGGAAACCGGCCGCGCACCCTCAACCAGAATCTCTTGGGTCAGAGACGTGCACTCTCCACATAGTCCTCGGCGGGAGTAGGAGGAGGAGGAGGCCTGTCGACCAGTGTCTGGGCGGCGGTACCACTGACACAGCTCATCCTTGTCACCAAGCGCGAGAGTTTCAATTGCCTGGTCTAGAGCAGACATGTTGTCGAAGTTGTGGTCGGGGTGCAGATGTAAATGTGGTGCGACCAGGCTGCCAGGCCAGACGACGATGAAGGGACATTAGAAGGAAGTGTAGCGTAAGCAGGCAAGCAGGTAAGCAGCCCTGCACCCGTGTACCCCGCAGATTGCGACCGGTACATGTTTGGGAGAGCCATTTTGTAGTAGAAGAAGAGATATGCTGAAATCAAAGAACTCAATGATCAAGATTTTATCCGGGTGTCAAAAAGTTGATGCATCTTACAATCAACCAAGACGTCCAAGGACGTCCTGGTCTGTTGCTTTCAGGGTCCAAGCTCCCCGCAGGCTAGCGCTGATGATCTCTGGGGACCCCCCCAAGTCCCCCTGGTGAGGTACTGCTTATCGATACTTTCCATCAGTCTTATCGTAGTGCAGCCCCAGTGCCCACCTTCCCCGAACCGACGTCACCGCAACTGCCTCTAATAGCTTCCAACAGCCTGGACAAGTGATTGCTTGTGGTCGGTCTAATTATCCTTCACCAATTGGGCAAGGCATCCGTCTGACTGTGGGATTCAGACCTTCCCAGTACTCACTTGTGCTCCTCCTGACCCTCCTGTCAGTCAACCTTAAACTCTGGAGCACCATCTTGTTCAGCAAAATGACCGAAGCTTAATATTCCTTGGTCCTCCGTCTTGATTAATCACCCTGACTCTCTCTTCATTTGCGTCGCCAGCCTTTCAGCCCTTTCCCCCGCCGAATCCGTCCATCTGTTTCCTCTGTTTCTGTTCGACCTCCTTTCTGCCCTTCTGTTCTCTTCTTTCCTTTCCTTTTCTTCTCCTTTCCCGCCTTCTGTCGTCTTCTACCCTCCATGCGACGGCCACGATGAGCAAGATCTGCGACATTGACGAGTCGGGCGATGTCTTGGCCACATACACCGGCAACGAGCAAGATGGCCTCAAGGTGGTAAGCCGCAGCCTGTTCCGTCCCGTCCTGTCCTGTTCTGTTGGCATTTGACGGCCTGGGCTGACTGAACCCGATCCAGGAGAGGACATATACTCCCCTCCCCAAGGCCATCCTCTACGCCTTCCTCCCCGCCGGCTTCCCCCATACCGTGACCGACGATTACCTCGCCTACCAGACCTTCGACTCGCTGCAGGCCTTCTCCTCCTCCATAACCAACCTCCTCGCCAACCGCGCCATCCTCGAGGGCCTGGGCGTGGGCAGCTCCAGCCAGACGCCCACCACCGCCCTGCTCCTCCAGATCATCCAGGACACCTTCTCCCGCCTGGCCACCATCCTGTTTGCCCACCGCATGGGCCAGGCCATCGAGCCCGAGTGCAAGTACTACCGCTTCCTCGCTGATATTTTCAACGACTGCAGCCAGTTCCTCGACCTCCTGCTCCCCGCCCTGCCCCTCCTGCCCAAGGTCTCCGTCATGGTCTCCGCCTCCATCCTGCGCTCCCTGTGCGGCGTCGCCGCCGGCGCCTCCAAGGCCACCCTCAGCGCCCACTTCGCCACAAACGGGAACCTCGCCGAGCTCAACGCCAAGGAGCAGAGCCAGGAGACTGTCGTCAGCCTTATGGGCATGCTGGCCGGCACCCTGCTCGTGAAGCTGGTCGAGGATAAGACCGCCGTGTGGTGCTGGATGGTCGTGCTGGTCGGAATCCACCTCCTGACCAACTACTGCGGCGTGCGCGCCGTCAAGATGCGCACCCTCAACCGCCAACGCGCCACCATCGTCTTCCGCGAGTTCCTCGAGACCAAGACCGTTCTGTCGCCCACCGAGGTGGCCAAGCGCGAGTCCATCCTCTTCAACAGCCACGGCAACGTCACCTCCCGCACGGCCGAGTACAAGGGGACGGCCGACTTTGGCGGCTACGGGGACGTCATGAACTTCCGGCCGTGGGGCTACCACAGATACGTGTTCGACACGGAGGACTACTTCATGGGGATCTGGCAGTGGGGGCCCAGCTTTACGATCCGCATCGCGCTGAAGGAGGGAAAGAGGTCGGACAACGACGCGCTCATGGCGTGGTTCGACGCGGTCGCGCACGCGTACCACTTCGACACGGCCATCTTCAGGGACGGGCTGGGCGGCATGGGCCAATACGAGAACGAGGTGCCGGACGACCACCTCGGCGGCCCGGGCGTCGTGGACCGCGACACCAAGCTGGCGCTGCTCGGCGCGCTGAGGGAGAAGGGCTGGGAGGTGGAGAATACTGCGGTCGAGACCCGGACGCCGGTGCGGGTCAGGGTCGGCGGCAGCGAGAAGAGTCTCAAGGGCACGTAGGACACGCTCGGCTTTCCTTTTGGTCTTTTGGCGTTCTTATTTTCGATCTTGCGACCGGAAACCCCCACCCCCCGGTACATTGAAGTTTGTATGCGACAAGTGCGAAGCAAGCGACAGAGACATGACAAGGAAACGTGCGCCACCGGGTGGACGCCATAACGCACACACGATTTTTGACTTTCTTGGCGCCGGCATTCTCTCTGCCCCTTCTCTCCCCCTTTCAAGATGATCTTGATCCAACTCCTCGGGAACAACTTGCTGATATGCGCACAACAGTACCGCCGGTGCCGAACGAGAAAGACCACGGCAATCTCCTTCACCGGCCCCCTTCGCGGCAGGCGAAGCACGACTGACCCCTTTGTCTTCGGCCCAAATCCCCATGGGCTAATATCTAGCTATTTCTATGCCAAGAGTCTTTGGGAAGTGTGCGTGTGTGTCAATTTGCAAGGCGTTGGGGACAGGGATATAGAGATGATCAAATGCCTTGCAGCGGCAGAAGTCAAAATTTGTTCCTAGATGTCTGCTTGTACACAAAGCGGAGATGGAAGTTTGCCTCGGGGTCAAGATGAGGAGCCATGTGACTGACGCCTCTCGTCTTTGGACCCGTGCGGATGTTATGAGAATACACGAAACGAACCGTTGATACCCCCAGTGTCTGTCCAACGCTTTGGCCGACCCTCGTAACGCCAGTTCAAGATTTGGTGCACGCCGGCCATGCAAGCCTTGGACGCCGTCCAAAACTACCGCGCCCCCTCCCTGCCAAAGTCGGCTGCGGTACAGCCCGCGCCTATTTCTCCCCATTCTAATTCAAATTGAGGAGGACAGACACCCTGCTCAATTCTGGCTATATGATCACCACATTTCCATGTCCATGTCGAAGCTGGTGCGTGCGTGCGTGCCTCGCCTCGCCCGCCCACATCACGACAGCCCGACGGCCCTGCTAGCCCGCATCTTGATGCCCTCCCACGTGTTGAGCTTGGGCCTGACGTCGAGGTAGAAGCTGGGCTTCGCGCCGGGGCCGGCGGGGCCGGCGCGGCCGGCGTAGAAGTCGATGACGTACTCGACGCGGGTGCCGCAGCGGTCGACGACCCAGTCGTGCCTGTCGAAGGGGGCGGTGTAGCCGAGGAGGGTGTTGAGGCGGGCCTTGGGGGACATGGTCGTGCTCAGGCCGGTGAAGGAGTAGAGCATCGGGCCCTGGGGGCAGCTGCAGTATTCGCAGTCGAGGTCAGCATGCGATATGTCAACGCAACGGGACAGTACAAGGTGAAGAACAAAAATAGCAACATACCTCTCCGAGGCGTACGGCCTCTCCCACTCCCGGATCTCCTTCCACGCGCGCTCGTTGACGGCGTTGTGGATGGGCACGACCGTCTTCATGTCCCGGGCGCGCGTGTCGTGGCCCTTGCGCTTCATGGCGTCGAAGAACATCTTCTCCGAGGGGTACACCCAGTTGCCGGTCTTGCTGTCGGCTCCCGTCTCGGTCTCGTGGTTGACGGGGCAGGCGGACGTGGTCGCGCCGGCGGACTGGCTGCGGGGGATGGTCGAGACCTCGCGGTCCGTTCCGAGGGTGTTGTCGTTGTGGCTGGTGGGGGTTTTTGAGCCTGGGTGTGGTGGTGGTGATTTTGTTGTGGTTGCTGTTGCTGTTGCTGGTGGTGGTGTTGATGTGGAGTAGGAGGAGAGGAATGGGATCCGCGGCCATTGCCATGTAGTGGTGGTAGTAGTGGTAGTAGTCGACTTCGAGGATTGTGGTGTCGTCGTCGTCATCGTCGGTGATGTTGATGATGATTGTCGTTGTTGCGCCTCCTCCTGTGCCGCGGCCTTTGCCTGTGCCATCCAGGCCTCCCTGCTGCGGTGGTCCACGGGGCACTTGTCCCCGCCTGCAGCCTCTGGCCCGCCCATGTCCTTGTTCATCGTGAGAGCTGTCCGTGAGCTGTTGTCGTCGTCTGTTGTGTGGTGGTGGTTCTCCCCTGTGCCGCCGCTCGTGCCGCCTCCTCCAACGTCCGCCAGTGCCTTTCGGTTCAGAAATAGGGTGTCGAGGAGATCCTGCTGCAGCATTATTATGATGTGGTTGCTGGATGTCGTGGTGCCATGTCTGTGGTCGAGGACGGCGACGCTAATAAAGTCGAAAGGGCCGTCCGTGGGTGGTGTGGGAATCCGTCAGTCAGGATATTCTTTTTATTTTTTGGGCCGGCGGCAAGTCGGGATCGGCTGGCTTGGCTTGTCTTGAACTTGCTTGGGGCCTAGTTTTGCTTGCCAGCCAGCGGGCGGGTCTGGGGGCCTGCTGTCTGGGCCTGGGTTTGGGATTGGGCCTGGGCATTGGCTGGGGCAGCAGTCGCCTCGGCCTGGTGGTGAAAATCTTGAGCTTGGGCCAGCAGCCACCAGACCCGGTCGCCTGGGCCTGCTGCTGCTGTCGAGAGTGGCCTGTCTCGCCTGCTAAATTTAGGCGCGGGCCGCTGGGCCGAGAGCATGGTCGCACGGTTGGGGTGGGGGAAGATGATGGTGGGAGAATTGCAACAATTAATTGCCGTAGTGAATGAAGCAAGGGATATGTTCTGTATTCTCTTGTGTTATATTGGCTGGCTGCTGCTGATGAAGTCTGTGGGCCAAAAGACATATATATATATAGAGGAGGTCTGGTCAAGATTATATCTCTCCAACAAATTAAATTTTTCATTCTTATTTTTTCTTCTTCCACCCCTTCCTTCTCCTGCATGTTGAGAGTCTCACTGTCTCCCCCGGGCCCGTCACACCTTGTCAACCTCCAGACAGAATTGCCCCATGTTGCTGACTGTCACTGTCAGCCACTCATCATCACGCCTCAGATGCACCACAGCCATATCCAAACACCACACACACAACCCCCCGTCCCCCTTGCAGTCCTCTTGCATCTGCGGCACCCGGTCCGACCTTTCTCGCTCGGCCACGTCAAACTCTGCTGTACAAACCACTGCACGGCAGCCATGGGCCCGACTGTCATGACCCGCACCACAGGGACGACGACACGCACTCTCTTTCTCCCTCTCCCTCTCCCTTCCTCTCTCTATCTCCCCCTCTCCTGCACTCCCTCCTGTGCATGCATGCACCGTGACTTGTGTCAGTGTTTGAAATCCTGACTCGGAAGAAGCTTGTCCCACATGTGCAGTGTGCATGGGGGCCCGACTGACAGACTGTCAAGTGATTAATTAGACTATTTTCTCCTGCTTGGCAGGCTGATTAATGACCCAGGGACTTGTTACTATCGAGCTTGGCTATCTCACTGCAGCACACACACACGCCTCTCGCACCTACTGGCCTTGACAAGGAAATAGCTTTCTTGGATCTGTTGGGACCAGGCCGAGACCCTCAGGATAAGGTTGGGCATCCCCTTTTCTGGAGATCTCGCTTCATCCCATGCCATGTGTCACGTGTGTGTGTGTTTGTGATGTGTGATGTTTCTCTGAGTAATTTGCAACGCTGTGCCTGCGGCAGATTCAATGGCCTCCCGGTATTGTGCTCAGGTGCCATTGCCAACCACAACTAGACATGGCCGTTCAAGTTCCGCGGGACCTCGGGAAATTCCGATGGCTCGTGCAGGAATGTGGACGGCAATACTGGACATGACAGGTTACCCGTGAGGAGGGTAGGGTAGCATAAACAGTCGACTGATGTCGTAGAAACGGGGATATATGTGGAACGTCTCGAGTTATTGGTGCACATGTGTGTCTACCAAGACGTACACGACGCCATCCCCCCCAGTATCTCGCTCGTGAAACACACCTACCCTAGGTAACCATGGACGTGGGTATTATAGGTACCTTGATAGGCTTACTTACTACCATGATCACCACTTGAAATCAAGTACTGCGTCTCCTTGAGTGCACAAGCGCCCACATTGTCTAACCGGATAGTGCCAACAAAACCTTTTTCCTTTCCTTCCCAATTATATTGTATGACCCTCAAAAGCCTTGGAAGCCATGACTATAGTCACATACCAGATCCCAGAATGCTTACAATTCTCACATTATCTGCCATAACGTGGGCGGCCCAGATTCCGCCCACCCCCCGATTCCGACCACCCACTTTTTGATACAAACACACTATTAAGACACCCACTTTTAAAACCCACTTATTAAATCTAAATAAAATTTAGTAACCCTAACCCTAGGCTTAAAAAAATAGCCTTTTAACTCTATTTTTATAAAAAAATACTATATAAATACTTTTATAACTAGAATATTTTTAAAAGAGTTTTTAAAGTTAAATAATTTTAAAGTATTAAGGAATATATAGTATTTTATATATTAGTACTAATATTTTTAACTATATACTTATTTTAATTATAACTAATTAAATAAATTAGTTATAATTATACTTTCTTTTAAAAAACCTTAATTATAATTATTATTACTTAATTTTAAAAGAATTCTACTTAATAAATATTAGTAATATTTTTAAAATTAAACTTTTACTTTCTCTCTATAAGGTTTCTTAGATAAACTATAAATATATTTATATTTTAATAAAGAAAATTCTTTTAATTAAATAACTTTTAAAATAAAGTTATTTATTATTTCTAATATTAAATAAAAATTTTATATAATTTATATTACTAATATCTAGTAAATAAAAGCTAATATTATCTTTGTTATAAATCTTTAATATTTTATTACTAATTCTTAATATTTAAAAACTTTTAAGTTTAAAAATATTTTAAAAAATATTAATATTTATTCATTACTACTATAGTATTTTTTATTAGTAGTTTAGTTAAAAAGCTATTATTTAAATCTAGGGTTAGGGTTTTAGGATTTTTTTTAGATTTAATAGGTTAGTTTAAAAAGTAGGTGTCTTTTGGTGTGGAACGCACCAAAAGTGGGTGGTCGGAATCGGGGGGTGGGCGGATTCCGGGCCGCCCACGTTATGCACGGGAACCAGTGGACCCACCACCCAAAGATTTGCATGAGGACATCCCTCTTTTGGAGGGAATCCCTCAGGAGCCTTGTAAGAGGCCAGGAGGTTATCCTATAAGAGCCTGTTCTGTAGGAGCTCATCTTAGACGGAATTGGGGGATATATGCTTTGGTCGCGAAGCGGAATGCCGAGCAGAAAACGTGCATCAAGGAGGTAGCCCTCAGGGTCACTGGTATCAAGATTCACCAACAAGGCTGAATATCATAACTACAAGGCACGGACTCTCATTCATGAATGCTGCAGTAAATACTTTGTTCGCGGCCATTCCATGGGGATTGAATTGCGCATAATTCGCATTCTAGCCAAGTTCGTGGGACGAGCTGGACAATATCTACGCCATGACACCTCAAAGCAGCATATTTAGGGACACTCTAGCTAGAGTCTACCTACTTTGATCTCAGGGGATAATAGCATTATTCCCCACAACCCTTTACATGAGCGTCAAAGGACAGGTCGCGCGTGTCTTCTACGGCACTTTCTAGTAAGTAAAGCAACTGCGCACTTGCATAGACCTGCGAGACAAGCTTTGGCTGTGCACGAAACTCAGCCGCCTCGCTTGTTTACTCTCCATGTGCATAGTCTCTCAAGATTGCATTAAGAGACACGTGACATTCCTGCAGGTACACAGCGTAATACTCGCTGATGGAAATTTTCCTGCCAGGCTTGAACAAGGGACACGAGTCTGGAACTAAGCTGCCCTAAACGAATGTCACGGTCAATGAGCGCCCTGCTCTTGCTGGATTCTCAGTCCTTGAATACGTCATCTAACCTATCTTTACCTTCCAAGGTTTGGTTCCGTTCATATCAGCCGCGTTCAACTGAACGCTTCTACGATATGTAGAGGTGGGGGCGATTCAAAGATTTTAGATGGAGACTGCATAGGCAAGTCGGGAGTCTTTCAGTCCTCTGTTGTTGTCGTCACGCTTCCTCTCCCTTGCGACTGGTCGATGTTGTGCGGCATCGCGAGCAAGAACAGACCTGGTTCGCTTGTCCATACACAACTACCAGCAGGGTAGGAAGGACAATGTCAAGAGTCTATGACTCTACTTGAAATGGAATTTCTCCGACCGATTCCACCAAACTATCGTCGCCGTCGAGCGCACACGTGAGGTGCAAAAGTTAGTCGAGAGAAGTCGAATCCAGTGCCTGGACAAGCATGTGGCTGTCAACAGAAATGATACCAGGCTCACCATCACGTATATCATGATCAACTACACTAGATGCGATATTTTGGACCCTTGGAATTGTCGTCTGCAGAGCAACTGAAACCCTACAAGAGGAAGGTAGACACGTGTGAAAGCATATACGTGCGGGGAGTCGGATTCGATCGCGGAGACCCAGGTCGTTGGGGTCCAGGCCGCGATAGAGTTGGCCTTATTCATGCCGTGCACCATGGCGGGGGTAACATGCCCACAAGCTTTTGGGTGTCATTTCGGCAGGTACATGAACAAGCATACGTGACTGGATGATGTAGTGCCATGGGGTATCATAGGAGAGGCCGGCCGATGCTGGTGTGGCTCGCTAACTGCAGATCGACAGATGGACGTGACCATCCCCGGGCCCAGGCAGCCTGCAAAAGAGACCGCCGCTGGTTATGTACCAGAATCAGGATCCCAGAAGTTATCCACCTGCTTTTTGCCCACAACCACGAGTTCTTAATGATATTTTGATACCATTCGAATCAGAAGCTTACTCTCAAGATATTGATATAGTTAAAATCAAGCACATATGATATGGTTGTGGAATAATCGTGGTGCTAACATGAAGGGTTTTGGTAGTACTTGGACTTAGCGGCGGTTTCTTTTGCAGGCTGCCTGGGGCCCTCGAGATTGGTGTGTTGGATTCTCAGCTGGATCGTTGCCGGATCGGCCTTGCCAAAGTTGTATGAATACCCAAGGGTAGGCTCGGCGGACGATGAGCGGTGGCATGACATAGTATGAGGGTGTTCCTCGCGGCCTAGACCTACCATGTAAGCAAGCCAAGCTTTGACCAGCGAGTCGTACGTTGCTTGTCCAGGAAGCCTTGCTGGCCAGCCGCCTCGTTGCTGTCCCTGGGCTGGCCCAGAACAACTTGTCACATGTGAGGTAATACCGAGCCAGTTGGTCCTGCGGCAGACATTGGCCTGGAACTCCAATCTTGTTTTTACAGCAGGCCAGTGAGCAGTTCGCGCGATCCCGGAGCTACAGACGTGGCCGACGTGCTGAACACGAGCCTTCCATGTTGCCGGGCTGCGGCAAAACAGACCTCGGTCAGCGTGAAATCCCATGCAAGTGTTTGCGGTCTGGCTGGGCCATCTTAATTTTGGTCCACCACGATACATGTACAGATTACACGGACCCGACTGCCCGGGTCAAGACCAACCGAGGCGAACCGGGGGTCGTGGAAAAATTGCTGCAAGAGAGCCGTGTCCGGATTGTTGGCGTACAGTATGGGGTGCTCAACGGCCTTCAGTCCGCCTGTGTTCCTGACCAAGGCATGGAAATGCAAGGCGGTGGCTGCTAAACACAGGAGTCGGGCCGGCCCCAGGCCTGAAGGACCACATCCCCTGGCCCGGCTATACGTAGCTATCTAGCAGGTACGCCTCCTGGGCATTCCATCAGCCGCGGAAGGGTGATCTTCAGCGGCACGCACAGTACACAAGGCAGTGGCCGGCTTGGCACGGATTCCCGAGCGGTCACCCTTGCTTCCCGTCACGCCACTGACGATATTTATGCACGGGCGAGGTACGTGCTGCTATCTCCCGTTGTGTTCCGAGATGGTGGTGGGCGATGGACGGCAGGTGTCCTGGAGGGCTTCGAGAATATTGACGACAGTCTTCCACGGGATGGGCCCTTCTCGCCGTCCCCAGAAATCTGCACTCTCCAGACTCTCCGTCTTTCTCCCCAAGATCTTTCATGCGCTGGGTATGATCGTCGGTGACATCCCGGCTGCTGCCCAATCGGCCGCATTCTGGCGGTTTTGTGGAGACGAGAACCACCCACTCGCTCCGGTTTTTGTCGTCCCCGTTCATCTCGAGAAAATCCAGCACCCTGGAGCCCCAGACCAAAGTGCTTCCAAGTCGTGCCACAACCCACCTATCTCCAGACTCCAGTTTTCCTGCTCTCCACGGGGAACTTGACCTCGGATGTGCCTTGGGCTTTCACGACACGAATTTTTAACGTCCCTTCATCCCAGTAGTGCCTCCCGGTAGCGCCTCCTGTGCCACGACGAGTCTCGTGAAGATGGCATGACCAAACCTCGCCCTCAGAGGAACACCCAGAGCTCCCGACCTTCTTCTGGATGTGTCTCGGCCCGTGGCATGCCGCCAACGGCTACTTGTCGCCCTCGTGGGCAAAGCAGGCCTAGGCCTTTACCACAGTATTACTCAAGTCTTACGTGGGAGCCTTTCCTACAGGCAACGCTTTGTGTAATGGCAACATCCCCCTTGCGCAACGTCTTACGGCTGCCTCGTGTCGGCAGAGCCTCGTGGGATAACCTGTGGGATAATCCACATGTGTGCACCTTCCAAGGTTCTTCATTCTTGTGCTCTCATTCAAGAAAAAGAGTGGCTTTGTCTGTCACTCTGCTGGACTATATCAGGGTTGTCTTGGGCAACTCGAAGTCTTCGGGGTGATGACAGGCCCCGACACTGGCCCCATCTGTTCGAGACAACCAACAGTTCTGGCTCGATCGACTTCAAGTGTTGGCCGTCGACTCGCAGGGGATGATGGCCGGAAGGATTCCTTCCCAGCCTACAGTACTCCCGCCGGTAAGAAACAGTGCTCGACCAATCCCCCCCCCCCCCCCGGCCCCCTGCCGCGCTACAGCATATTGGTGATCCCACCCTGCTGTCAGGGCACGCCGCACGTCACTTGCCCGGCCGAGCCCCCAAGCCTGTCAAGCATCGCCCGCCCGGCTTGGCCAACGGGTTTCCGTCTCGTGCATCAGGCGTGGGTGCGGTGAAGCTTTCTGGGCATCGAACGGTGTTTTCGGGGCACACGACACTGCCATATCTCCGTCCTGTCGCCTGTTCTATCAGCTGCCAGCGTGAGAACTCGGTCCCAATCCTGGCCCCAAGGATGCCGGCCACGCAGGAAGGGGCAGAAACCAGCCACGAGGTCGACTACTTTTAGCTCTTACCCACAGTTTTTCTCACCTACCAGTGCCACCGGCGTACAGTAGGCCTACGGTGCTCGGATCAGGCATCGCACCACGGCACGTTACCTGTGCTCCTTGATCGCACAGCAGGTTCGTAAACAAGGTGAGAGAAGCCGGTAACCGGGAGCCCCTGGCACATTGCTCCATCCACTCGACCTCGGCCGGCCATTTCCTTGCCTTGGTCTTGGATCCTCGATGCCACCACGAGAAACACACACACCTCCCTCCACGCCTGTTGTCTCTTCCCCAGACAGCCCAGTCGGCCCTTCCTGGGCCCCAACCAACCCGCTTTCTCCATGTTCCTGCACATACATGACATGGATGATCCACCTGCCCATCGGCTTCTCTTTGACTGGCTCAGGCGTGGAACATTCCAACATGTGGTTACCTAGCCTTTTCACCTGGGCACATGGCTCCGGAACCGATTCCACGCCCCAACGGCCTCGCACCCACTCCGTTGGTAATCACACCCTGTTCATTTTTAGCTGTTGACGTTGCGAGACTGTGCGGAGACCAGTCGACAGGATGGAGCGGGCTGAAGAAGCCCACCTCGCCTGCTCGCGTACGGGCGGCAGCGTGGTAGTGGCATGGGTTGGCTCCGGTCAAGGTCTCCGGGTCCCTCCCATGTAGTAACCGTGTCCCAGTATTTACTACCTAGGTAGATAGTGAACGCAGATCACCATCGAGGCTGCCTCATGTACAGTGTATGGTACATAAACTTATAAAGGGCAAGAGCCTCCCAGTCCTTCCCCTTTCCATTCCGCCTGTCAACCCTCGTGGGTATTCATTTTGCCTCGATAAATATATCCCAGACTCAAGCTTCGACCTTGCAGTATTGCAAGAAGTCGTCAACGTCAAAGAGGAAACATCAACCATTTCCTCTCAAAACACCACACCGCCCGGCGGTTCACCACAATATAAAGAGACCCTCTGGGCTCCCCCGTCGTCCCTTGCGCAAGGCCAGCACAAGACAAGATGTACAAGGTCGGCAACATCTACTTCATCGCGGCCACCGCCGTCATCGGTGGTGGCCTCTTTGGTTTCGACATCTCCTCCATGAGTGCCATCATCTCGACAAAAGGATATCTGTGCAAGTTCAACACCCTCGGTTTCGACGAGAACAACGAATGCCGCGGCCCGTCGTCTGACATCCAGGGTGGCATCACGGCCGCCATGCCCGGCGGCTCCTGGCTGGGTGCCCTCTGCTCTGGTTTCCTCTCAGATATCCTCGGCCGGAAGACGTCGATCCAAATCGGTTGCGTTGCCTGGTGAGACTTCCCGACGTCGTCCGCTCTCGAGTCATCTGCTAATCCTTATGTCAAATTAGGGTCATCGGCTCCATCCTCACTTGCGCCGCCGTCAACATTCCCATGCTGGTTGTCGGCCGTATCGTCAACGGATTCTGCGTCGGCATCTGCTCCGCCCAGGTGCCCGTCTACATCTCCGAGATCGCCCCTCCCTCCAAGCGTGGCCGTGTCGTCTCGATGCAGCAATGGGCCATCACCTGGGGCATCCTAATCATGTATTTTATATGTCAGTATCACTTTTCACCTTTTACGGATCCCCGTCTTTCATGTTTTGGAATGTTGTAGAATACAACGCTTCAGGACCCATAGCAGGACTAACTTCACCACTAGGCTACGGGTGCAGTTTCATCGATGGAGACGCTTCTTTTAGGGTTCCCTGGGGCCTGCAGATGATTCCCGCCGTCTTCCTGGGCCTCTCCCTGATCTTCCTGCCCGAGTCCCCTCGGTGGTTGGCCAAGAAGGACCGCTGGGAAGAGACACACTCCGTCTTGACGCTCGTACACGGCCACGGTGACCCGAACAGCCCCTTCGTCGTCCGTGAGCTGGCCGAGATCCGTGAGGTGGTCGAGTTCGAGCGTGCCAACAGCGATGTCTCCTATCTCGAGCTCTTCAAGCCCAAGATGATCAACAGGACCCTGATCGGTCTCTTCATGCAGATCTGGTCGCAACTGACTGGAATGAACGGTAAGCATCACTCTTCTCCCTTTGCGGATCCCCGTCTTTCTGTTTTGGAATGTGCCAGGGCTAACAGTACGCGCCGTAACAGTCGTAAGCATCACTTTTCACCTTTTACGCATCCCCCGTCCTCCACCTTTTGGAATCTTCTAGAATACAACACTTTAGGACCCGTAGCAGGACTAACTTCATCTTAGATGATGTATTACATTACGTACATTTTCCAGATGGCTGGCATCGGTAACGGCAATCTGGTGTCGTCGGGGATCAACTATGTGATTAACGTCTGCATGACGGTCCCGGCGCTGATCTGGCTGGACCACTGGGGCCGACGCAAGCCCCTGCTCATCGGCGCCTTCTTCATGTGCCTGTGGCTGTGCGTCAACGCTGGTCTCTTTGCCGTCTACTCGCGGCCTGCGCGCCCCGGCGAGTTCCCGTCCGACGCCGAGTCGATGGCCATCTCGGGAGCCCCGGCCAAGGCGGTCATTGCGAGCACCTACCTGTTTGTCGCCTCGTACGCTCCCACCTGGGGTCCCGTGTCGTGGGTGTACCCCCCGGAGCTGTTCCCTCTCCGCCTGCGTGGCAAGGCCGTGGCCCTGGCCACCAGCGGCAACTGGGCGTTCAACTTTGCGCTGGCGTACTTTGTGCCGCCCGCCTTCAAGAACATCACCTGGAAGACATACGTGCTGTTCGCCGTCTTCTGCTTCGCCATGTTCTGGCACGTCTTCTTCATGTTCCCCGAAACCGCCAACAAGGCCCTCGAGGAGGTCGACGCCATCTTCGACGATACCAAGCCCGGTGCGATCCCGTACATCGGTACGCCGGCCTGGAAGACGCACAATGTGCGCCACGAGACCGTCCTCAAGGAGAGGAACGCGATGGGAGATGAGGAGAAGGTTGTGGCCATGGCTGCCCACGAGGACGAGGCCCGGAGGGATGTTGAGCACAAGGACTAGAGGTCTAATTCTTGGGGCGTATGGAGTGACAAGTTTGTCGACGTGCCGCTGGCGGTGAGCCCCTTTGGGGACGAGCTGCTTGACCATGTCGGCCAGGGAGAGGAGGATAATACGGGTGATGACTGGGAGGATGTTGACCTCGATGCCGGGGAGATAAAGTTTGAGGCCACACGGCCTTGGTGGGAGGACTTTGGATAACCGTGCTTGCTTGTGAGATGGCACCTGGCTGGGTCAGGAACGCGTTTGGATATTAATGTTGGATACGAGCAGTGCTGTGTGCTATAAAGAAGCAGATAGGGAGCGCCTGAAGGGCGCAACGGACGACGATGGTATGATCACTTTACTTAGCTTATACCCAAATACCTACAACCCATTCTCATAGGATTAAATCTGGTTTCGTTTCAATGCTTCCTACAGCCTTTGCTCTGCTAACTATCCGCTTTGCGGCTACGTAGTTGTGACCATTGCTCGACTCTCTTAGGACAGTTTCCCGAGCATACCGGTAATTTCCTGTGAGACAAGCCTCGATAGGATGGCTGATTATTAAATAGCCTCTTTAAGAACGTCCCTACTGGTAGTGGATAGCTTCCTCAGGAACACCTCTGGGTGAGCAATGATATAGGACGCGTCACAGACAACAGACAAGAGGTGGGCAAGACCACAGGGAACCTCAGGATTGTTAAAAATTATGTGACACGTCGAAGGTGCGGTGGTGCTATAATAAAAATATGTGTAATGCTGCTCAATAACCTGATGAGCTGTTATTTGGCGCTTTGCGGGAAGGCCATCTCCGCCTCAGTGCAGGTGTTCATGATAACAACCCACAACTATGTCAGGCTTTGGAAATTTAAGCATAGCCGCGTCCATGATTAATGAATACCTTTGCCTCATCTTCTGAAATAGACGACTGCCTGGTCATCGTGATACCTTGTAGGGCTCTAACTGTCAGGCCTATGTGGAAGTTGGTATCTGGTATCTGGGACTAGGCTTCGTCATTGATCCTCACCCCTACTGTCCTCTGACCGTGCCGCAGCCGGGAACTGAGGTTACGTAAGTTGCGGTAAACCACCCTGGGCATTCATGGCCGATTTATCGTGATCTCCACATTCACTTCTGGAAGTGGCGACGACCTTCAATCTCGACCATCATGCTATCAAGGCAGAACCGTTTCACAATGTCCTTGTGACCATGGCCAACGACGTGGACCGAAGAAGAACCTTCCGCCATCCTTTCTCTTGTTGGGGTGAGTTTGTGGACGCCTTGATGTCTGTGTGCCCGCAAGTGAGTCGGCGGGGAGAAGTGGAAGGGCAGTGAGTGGGAAGGTTGAGGAAGAAACGGGGAAAGGGAGTAGAGGTCAGAAGAATTGGAACAAGCAGGCGGCCAAGTTTTGAGCTAGCCTCAGTGACTCAATTTGCTTGATCCGCGGGGGGGAGCTGGAGGACCGACTTCCACCATGTGGTCATCATTATCAGGGTGGTGTCACCTGGGAGGGTGATGCCGCCGTGTGGGAGGGTGATGCCGCCGTGTGGGAGGGTGATGCTGCGTGGGAGGGTGATGTCGCCTGGGAGGGGGGCGCCGCGAAAAGTTAGCTCGGCGAGTAGGAGCTCCCGACGCTCGGCCAATACGGCCGGAGTGATCTGGATGATGGTGCCGCCTGGGAGGGTTGTCTGGCCGGCCGGCCACGGGACGCCGCCGACCCACTGCAGGGCGGGCAAGACCAGCGACGATCTGCCGCCTAGGAGGACGTAGGTGCCACCTGGGAGGGTGATGTCGCCGCCGCCGCCACCTTGGAGGGTGAAGCCACCTGGGAGGACCAGGACACTGATCGACCTTGTGGCCGAGGTGATCCTCACCTCCGGCCCAAAGGAGAGGGTCCTGCCGCCTGGGAGGGTGATGGTGCCGCTTATAGGGAGGCTATTCTATAGGAGGTTGTCCCTTAGGAGGGGGTTGTCCCTCATCATATAGGAGCACTCCTTAAGGAGGTAATTTTATAGGGCAGTTTGATCAAAGCTCGGAGCAGAAGCTGCGCGAAGTGATGATGTGCATATCCGAGAAAAGACGAGGAATTGCTCCAAAAGGCGATGAAAACCACCACAATCGAGCAAGAAGATCATGAGAATAACGCGCTTGTGGCTAGTAGCATTATTAAGTATTTGGCCTATACATCAAATACGACTTTTTGCCCAAATTTTCCGCCGCTAAAGAAACAAAAGTGGAACATATGTGACGGTACGGCTCTTATGCACCGCTAGGAACGGCCAATCTCTCCAGATTGGTTATGATCATCTGTTTGCCGGGCGGTCTATTGCGTTGCTGGCAGTGCGCAACCCCGTTGCAAACATATACGGCAGGAGACAACGGGACAATATGGGTCTCCCCTGACCCCCTCCTCGCGCCTTGCTTCATTCACACCGGTATTGGCTTGAATATCTACTTGTCCAAGACAGTCAGCCTGAGACCGTGCCGCCTCACCTCTTGACAGGCTCGCCAGTCTCGGTGACCAGGTACTCGTCCGTCTTGATGGGCCCCTCGCCAACACCAGTCATTATGACCCTGGAGATGCCCGTCTTGAGCGCGTCGACAACGGGCTCGTCCAGGGCCACAGCCGCACCCTTGAGCGCGGCGGCGCTCTCCTTCCAGCCGCCGACCTCGTGCAGCAGGGCATTGAAGGTGCCGACGACGGCAGGCTCGTCCTTCTCGAGGTAGTAGACGACGCAGTTGGGGCCTGCGTCGAAGGTGTAGGCGGCGACGGTGCGGCCTGCGGCCTCGTTGATCCTCTCGACGGCCCTGACGGCGGCGCGGGAGACGTCGTTCATGTAGAAGATGGGCGGGTAGGTGTCGGCGCAGCTGGCGTGGAACGAGTTGCTCTCGCGCATGGTGACCTCGGCGAACAGGGCAAAGTCCCTGTCGCGGACGGCCTTCTCCATGAGGTCCATGTTGCGGGGCACGACCTCGTCGACGCGGCGGGCAAAGAGGCCCGAGGTGGCGACGGTCTGCTGCATTCCCGAGGTGGAGCTGACGCCCTTCTTGGCGGCGGAGGCGACGAGGATCAGGGCGCGCATGTCGGGCCAGTGCGAGGCCTCGGCGACGAGGTCGGCGCGCGAGTCGGAGCCGTCGTCGCGCTCGCCCATGCGCCAGGCGACGTAGCCGCCGAACAGCGAGCGGCAGGCGGAGCCGGAGCCCTGGCGGGCGATGAGGGACAGCTCGGAGGGGCTGTCGGGCAGCTCGTACAGGTTGGCGACGGCCCTGACGAGGGCGGCGAAGCCTGCGGCGGAGGAGGCCAGGCCGGCGGCGGTGGGGAAGTTGTTCTCGCTGACGAGGCGGAGGGGCATGGCGCTGAGCTTGGGCAGCGACGGGTCGGCGTCCTCGAGGGCCTTGCGGCGGGACCTAAGCTCACGGAAGCATGCCTGGGTGCGGGCGCCCGAGATGTCGGAGGGCTCGCCGTTGAGGAGGAGGGAGTCGGAGCCGGCCGGGTAGGCGGCGCTGCAGGAGGCGGTGGTCAGGGTGCGCAGGTCGGCCTGCGAGAGGGTGACGGAGAGGGACGAGTTGGTCGGGAGGTTGAGCTTGGGGTCACGCTTGCCCCAGTACCTGGAGGGAGGAGAGAGAAGACAATGTCAGCAGGATATCCCAAGAGGAGAGAGAGGGGGGGGGCAGGCAGGAGGCTGACTTGACGACGGCGATGTTGACGGGGGCAGTCGTGCTGGCCCGGTAGACCTTGTTGTCGGCCATGCTGATCAATTGGACAGGAAACTTGACTGAGTGTCTCTTGGATCTTTTCTCAGCACACACAGAACAGCGCAGGCGGACAGATAAACAGAGGAGAGTGGAAGGTCGAGGATGGGGAACCCCGAAAGGCAGCGGTCAGCGAGGCTATCGTCCAAAGTGTACTGTGGTATCGCCTGGTGGGCCATGGTGGGGTAGCACTCGAGATTGGACCCTTCAAGCTCTACCCTTCCCTGCAGCTGCCACCTGCGATTCGAGCAAGGTCTGTGCGGCTGCCCCGCGATGGACCCAATCGGTACGTACCTTCGCAGTCCGATCCCTCTTCGAGGATGCCCGAGCACCCAAGTACCCAAGTAGGTATCCAAGTACCCAAATACCGACACTAGGACATCTCACCTCAACGCATCGCCATCATCATCAATCAACAACACATTGCCATGTGGCTGAACGTCTCCAGTACACACCCCCTGGAGAAATGTGCCTTAAATTGTGATGCGCCCGGCTGGGCATACCCTGCTGCGTCAAGGTTGCCTCCACTGACAACGGACATGCAGACACACACACCTTGGAAGCAACGACTGTGTGGTATCATCATTCTCGGTTACAAGGCAGAACTATCAAATGTCCAACTAAATCAATCTAGCCCTCGAGACACCGCTCGAAGTCTCCCACGGGGACTTCCCAGTTGCCCCTGGTCACGAGCCACTTGGTGATGGCCTCCATCTCCTCGCCGATCCTCCGCAGCCCGTCCTGTTCGAACCCATCACCACGCACCCGCACAATCACAGTCTGGTTCTGGGGCCCTCCCAGCCCACAGTGCATGCTCAGCCCCAGGTGCGACTTGATCACCCCGCTCAGCACCTCGTGGTGGTGGTGTGGGTTGGTCCCCATCGTCCCCATCCCGGGCACCCAATTGAACACCTGCGCCCCGATCAACTCCGGCACCAACTCATTGCCGCCCTCGAGGCCGTCCATGATCTTCCTCATCGGCGCGGCCGAGTGTTTGGTCAGCAGCGTCTGCTCGGCCTGCACCCTCCTAAGGAACCCCAGCACCGTCTCGCCGCCGCCGACCCGCCTGACCTCGATCAGGTTGATGACGTTGTGGTACGTCGGCCCGCTGACGTCGGTCGCCTCAAAAAGCCTTGGGCTGACCGCCACCATCGTCTTGGACACGAACGGGAAGCTCGTCCGCGATGCCTCGTGGTTGGTGAACACGGCGTGCGAGTGTCCCGTGCGGTGGACGTTCATCAGCGCCGCCGCGCTCTTGACCACCGCCTGTGGCGTGATGTCCGGGTGCTCCTTGCGCAGCGCGTGGATGTCGGGCGTGTCGAACATGAAAAAGATGCGGTCGTCGCCCCCCACCAGTGCGCCATTGTACTGGCCACGCGGCGTGATCAGTGTCGGCGGGAATAGCGCACCTGCTTCGACGTGCTGCCGCAGCGACGACAGGCGTCTGAGGTGCCACTTTGTGGCGGCGCGTGCCTCGACCCCGGACCTCAGGTTGTAGTACGAGTCGGCCCACGGCTTATAATCCACGTGAGGGTGCAGCTTGGCCAGGATCTCCTCGGTCGAGGATGCCCCAGAGGCTATGGCCGCAAGTGCCCGGTCTAGGTCCTCATGTACGGACTGGGCCATGAATCCGTCTATCACGCAGTGGTGGGCTGATGTCACCATCGCTGCTGTGCCTGTCTCCTTGACGTCGAAGAGCATGGTGCGGTAGGCCGGTCCTGGAAGAGTGGCATAGTCTGGGCGAGGATGCTTTAGCGAGATCCCCTTCAGGTCCTCCGCAGTGTCGAGGGAACCGCCATCTTCAACGATCATGTCAAAGAACTTGGGGCTCTGCCTCACAACTACGTGGAGGGCGTCGTCTGAGTGCAGCTTGTCCGAGTCCCACACGAAGAAGGATGCCAGAATGCGGTTGTTGATAACAACGGCCTCGAAGGCACGGCGGAGTTGCTGGGAAATCTGGTCAGTGCCAATTCCCCCTTGGCAGCGAGGGTGAGCTTTGGGTGTGAGTACTTGCCTCCTTGTTAACCCTGTTACTTGGATGTATGGCAGTGTTGAGATTCCAGCTGTCATACAACTTGGTCTGCGACATTATCGCACCGAAGTCGTATGCGGGAATGATGTCCTCGACATCTTCCCAGTCCATTCCGAGGCTCGAGAGGGTGCTGTTGACCAACTCCTTCGTCGGCTCAAAGAGATCTGGTTCTTCGATCAGATGGACCATATCCTCCACCCCGGGTGGTCCCTTGCGGGTTGGCCTCTCCACACGCACTTCTTGGGTGCCGTTTGCGTGGCCGGCTCCCATGCTTAGCAGTAGCTTAACCTGCTTCTCGATGGTGCCTGCTTCTGTCATGGCTGCCAGTGAGAGGGTTCTACCAGTTGCCCGCATTATCTTGTCACGCACACGCATCACGGTGATGCTGTCGGCGAATTCCCCAGTCGGAGCGTCCAGGCGTATCCTCGAAGGCTCGAGGCCGACCGCCTTGGCCCAGATGGACCGCAGCTGCTCGGTCAGGTTGGCATCGTTCGAAGTTGTGCTATCGAGCGCTTCCTCGCTCTCCGACAGGTGCTTCTTCACCAGCGCGGCGAGCTTGACCTTCTGGATCTTGCCCGAAGTCGTCCGTGGGTAGTCCTCCAAGCCAAGTGCCTTGACGGGGATAACATCTTCTGGGACATACAGAGTGCCCATGTGGTTGACGATCTCTGACTGGACCAGCTGGCGGATCTCGGTGGTGGCGGAGCCCTTGATGACGCAGATTGGCACCTCGCCTGCGATCTCGTCCCTGACGCCCACTATCTGTGGCATGAGCGCGTTCAGCATGGGGTTCTTGCACAGTATGCTCTCAACCGCAGCCGGCGAGATGTTTTCGCCGCCTCGGATGATCCTAACAGCAATCTGTAAGTAAACGGCCACAATCTCAGGGACCTTTTGAGCAACTCACATATCCTTGAACCTCCCTGTGATGAACGTCCGCCCCCGGCTGTCCATCCTGCCTGCATCACCAGTCTTGTACCACAACTTCCCATCCGACTCGTACCAGTTTTCTTTGCCCATACCGCCGATGTAGGGTCCGTCGATGCTGGGTCCACAGCCGTGGATTTCGCCCACGGTATTGTGCGGAACGACCTCGCCCGTGTCGGGGTCGGCGATGCGGACGCCAAACCCTGGCATGGGCCAGCCAACCGCGGCATCGTCCCCATCTATGATCTTGCTGAAGTCGTCTGTGCACCCGCCGAAAATCAAAAGACCTTCCGTACAGCCGAATGCGTGCTCTGCACCGCCGCCGCCAAGCTCTTGCGTGACGAGCTTCAGAATCTCTGGGGTTATTGGCGCGCCTGCGAGGGTGACGTTTTTCAGATCACTCATTGGTCTGTTGGGATACTTGGTCGCCTTGGCAGCTACTAAAGCATGCAGCATTGTTGGAACTATCGTCACGTGACTAATCCTCTCGTTGTAGAGCGTCTCCAGCATGAGATCGGGGTCGAACGCCAGCCCAGGGTATATAACCCCGGCGCCCAAGCTGAGAGCGATCGCCAGGGGCCAGAACCCTATGATGTGGTTGTTGGGGCCCGGGGAACAGCTGCGGTCGCCCGCCCTCACAACCCCATCGATCGGGATGCGGGCGGCCATTGCCGCGGCCCAGTTCCGGTGCAGGCGATAGATGCCCTTGGGCAGGGAAGTTGTGCCCGATGTGAAGAGGACGCAGCCCCCCCGCTCCGTGTCCGAAGGCCTCGGGAGGAGCTCGTCGGCAGCCTGCGGGTGCTCGTCCATGAGGCTGGGGAAGCCGGTCCAGTCTGCATATCTGGCCGCACCAAAGACGACCTTGTGCGCAGGCTGTGGGAAGAGGCCGAGCTCGTCGATCTTGAAAGCGAGGTGCTCGTCTCCGGCGGCAACGAGGGGCCTGTCTCCGTTGCAGACGCTCAGGCCCGTCCTGACCATGTACCTGACCTCTTCCTCGTTGGTCAGGTTGCGCGGGTTTATGGGGATGATGACGCAGCCCAGCTTGATGGAGGCATAGGCCACGAGCACGTATTCGGCGCTGTTGTGGCAAAAGGTCACCACCGGCGTGCCCCCTCTCACATTCAGCGGCTGCAGTGCCCTCACGAGCCGGTCGATGCCCTGGTTGAGGCTCCGCAGTGACCAGCGGAGGTAGGGCTGCTGGCGGAAGGCGTCCGAGTCCAGTTCGAGGTTTGGGATGCCGAATAACCCGGCACGTTGGTGAACACATGCAAGGGCAAGTGCCTCAGGTGCGGCGGCGACTGCAGACTGGAATTGCTCCCAGAGGCATGGTGGCTTGTCTAATACCAGGGGGGCGCCATATGCCTCACTGATGGTCGCCACGGAGCCCATGGTTGGCAGCAGTTGATTCTGACGGCAAAATGTCTCTATGACAAGACAGTGCAATGCAACGCGGGAACAACCACACCAGTTAAGATTCAAATGTTCAAAGCATGAGATCTAGTCTAGCAACCCAATTCCTCAACAAGACGCGACCCTGGTGTTATGTAGATTCGGAAGCCCAGCAACATGGCGGTCTGCGCCTGAGTCGGAAGACTCGGAGTCATATCACGAATCGAGGCCTCACAGCGCGCGGCAAGGGGTTAGATCCTACTCCGTACTGTCACATCTTCAAAGAGAGACCAATGCAGTGTCCTACACTTGATCAGGCGCCGCCGCCGCTGTTGATCTCTAACACAGACCCTCTTAGCAAAGCTGGGCATGACTCAGTACCAGTACTTACTTAGTACCTAAGGCATAGCAAAGGAGACAGGGGTGGCTTTAAAGACAGGGAGGTCTGTTAAGACGAGAGTTTAACCATTGCGTAAAGTCGCCTTGGCTGAAAGACCACAATTGTCAGGCCATGGGCTGATCGCCCGCAGGACAAACTAGTGGGTCTGTGTATACTGCTTATCTTATTAGCCCAAGTGGCCTCTATACCTCTTATAATTTAGGATTGTAGCTTTACCACTTCCTCTATACTATTCCTTATGTAACTCTAGTTTTAAATTAATAATTCTTAAAGATAATTTAAGCCTTCTTTTATTATAAGTTATAAGGACTATTTTAATAATTTCTAAGTCCTTTAACTTAGAGATTTAATAGTTATAAGTTTATATTATTATATCCTTTATTTAAAGTTTATTAAAGCTTATTAAGAATAATTTAAATATGGAAGTAGCTTCATGATTCATCCGAACCTTTGGCCGAGGACAAGACTCAAATGCTACATATGTAGACACCTTCCCCCCCTCCCACGCGGAGCCCGCTACCGCTGGACCAGAGTTCCAAGTTCCTTAGGTGACAAGGGCCCTGATGTTCTCTTCAGCTGCAAACTCAACTGTCCACCCTGCTGATATGCCCAGCGGAGCAGCTGCGACTTGCTGTCCAGGGACCACTCCCCCGCCGAGACGTCAACGTCCACCTCCAGCTCATCCTCGTCATCAGATCGTCGATAATGCAGCCAAGGCACGTAGATGGCAACATCCCCGGCCCCGGCAGCCTCGACATCCGCGTCGAACCTGCTGGTTTTCAGGTCGAACCCCATCCGAACCAGTCTCGCACCGGGGCCTAGGGACTGGACGTACGGCCGGCACCACGCCGCCGCCGCCCGGAAGCCAGAGAGGTGCCTGTGCCGCGGGAACGACCCCGTCTCGGCGCAGTAGATGGACAGGTCCTCGCCGTTCCAGTGGTCGCCCCACTCGTGGGTGTTGCCCGGGCTGTACGCCCACAGGGTGTAGCCGAGCAGGTGGTCGTCGCACCCGCTGATGATGGCGTCCATGGCGGCCACGTGGCTGGTGTAGTCGCCGTCGCCGTACGCCCTGCCGCCGTCGAGGCTGAAGGGGATGCCCGTCTCGCCGACGAGCGTCGGCACGGGGTGGCTGTGCTCGTCCTCGCCCTCGGCGCCGCCGTTGACGTCGTTGGCCAGCTCGCCGAGCTGGTCCGAGATGACCTTCCGGACCCTGCTGTTGCCGAGGCGCAGCGCCTTCAGCTTGTTGCTGATGTCCTGCGGGCCGCGGAGCAGCGCGAGGATGTCGATGTTCCAGTACCTGTGCCAGTGGCCCTTCATGACGGTCAGGGCGTCGTAGAAGTGCGGGCTGTACGCCATCCGGTGGTGGTCGCCGTTGGACGTGATGTCGGACAGCAGCCTGTGCGGCGGGGGGTCGAGGACCGACGACTGGAAGAACATGATTGCCACCGGGGAGTGCTTCCGGATCCCGGCGTGCCACTTCTCGTAGAATGCCCGCCAGTACGTCTCCTTCCAGTCAAACGCCTCGCCGGTGCTCCTGGCGCCCTCGTACGACCCGTTTGGGGGGTGGTCAAAGTACTGCGGGTTCTTGAGCTCCCCGGTGGACATGTCCCAGACGCCGTGTTGTGCCCAGACACACTCTCCCAGCTTCCAGTCGGCAGACCTGTCCCACTTCCACCTTGCGTCTTCCTTTTCCAACCAGCAGGTCCTCCCTGGGGTTACCGTGACGGTCCCGCTCTTGTGCGGCCCAGTCTTGCCCAGCTTGAACCTGTCCACAGTCTGCTCGACGCCCATCCCCAGCCTCATGGCCTGGATGGGGCTGGGGGTGCTCCCGATGGTCGCGCTGGCCTCCCTCTCCATCCTGCCCAGGTCCTTCCACCCGATCAGCCCAGGCTCGGGCTCGTTCATGCTGTCCCAGCCGAACTCCAGGCCCCGGAGGGCATCGGCAAGACGCCCGTACGCCGCCACGTAGTGGTTCTGCAGGTAGTCCTGGACGCTGACGCCGTCGATCTTGCACCGCGGGGCAAAGTCCCGGCCCCCAAAGAAGAGCGCGAACAGCGTCAGCGGCGCCAGGCGGTTGTGGTTGCTCGTCCACATCATGTCCGGGATCTCGTGGGGGTCCTTGTCCTTGCCGCGGCCGCCGTGGTTCGTGTTGTCGCTGTCGGCGGGCCACTCGGCGTAGCGCACGGCGGCGTGCGTGTCGGCGAAGCCGTCTGGGTCGAGCCCGCAGGCGTGGAGGGTCCACAAGGGCGCGCCGCTGCCGCCGGCGAAGCGCGACCACAGGTCCTGGTGGGGGTTGATGACGACGCGGAAGCCGTGGGCGTTGCAGAGCCGCACGAGCGAGACGGTGTGGGCGATGTAGTCCTCGTCGTAGACGCCGGGGCCGGCGTGCTCCAGGGCCTCCCACACCACCGGCAGCCGGAGGACGTTGAAGCCGAGGTAGCGCAGGCGGGCGAGCTGCGCCGGTGCGTCGTCGAGGCTGAGTGGGCTCCCGATGTACGAGTAGTCGGCGGTGGTGTCGAGTGATGAGAGCCTGTAAGTGGGCTGGCCTGGGGGGTATTTGCCATCGGCGAGGTTGACGCCCCTCAGGATGATGGTTCGGCCCGAGTCATCGTGGAATTGGGTTGGCATACTGCCAGTGGTGATAGTAAATGTGTATTATTATCCAAGTTATTACCCAAGTGCTGCATGCAGGTGGGTAGGATCCCAACGTTTCATCCGAGGATAGTTGGTGATGACTTCCCCTTCCCACTCCAAAAAAAAAAAGACAAGCAAGGATTATGACAGGGGGAGAAGGGAAGCTGGCAAGTGGATTACTACGCTCAACATTGAGAGGATTGCCCCATCATTAGACTCATTGGCAAGGCATGTTCGTCTTATGTTGTCTTGTGTTGTGCTGCCTCGTGGGACTGGTGACGTCAGGTGTGTGTTCCTTGAATGCGCAGGCGGGTCTAACCGAGTCCGCCGTAGGGCTGGCTGGATTTATTACCTGACCTGTCTGCACTCTTGACTATCAAGGCGGAACTCGGCATGCCACACGGGCTGTGATCCCGTGTGCTGCACATGGACAACACTTGACCGTTTTTGGCTGAGTTGTAAGCCTCTACCGCCGTAAACCGAGATCTTAGTATGGGCCACAGGGGGGAATGAATGATGGCATTGAGAAGAGCGCCTATCTATAGCTTCAGATTGTATCAGTACTAGTCTCTGTGTCATCCGCAATTTGAAGTCGATGCCAATGAGTGAGTACACAAAATATCTTGGGAAGAACGGATGAAGACGAGGAACAAGGTTTGTCGCCGACTCTCTCACGGTGTTGGAATTCACTGACACGGGTGGAAAGAAATAATGGGAGACAAGATTTCTCAAACGCAGACGGGCATATCATCTTTCCATTCTATGACCGTCTGTCTAAAATAGGGTAGCAGGACATCTCTATAGTGTATGTCTTCTCTATCATCTAATCCCCGGGGTATTCGTAATTCATGCCAGGCAGTCTAGCCCAACATTTCGTAATGCGCATACAATATAACCTGCGACGCGCGCGTAGAAAACAAACAACGAGGGTATCAATACTAATGCACAAAAAAAGAATTTTGCACATCCTCAACGACAACTCATCTCCTCTCCACCCATTAATACCAGGATGAGTGACAACGAGCTCACGCCATCACGCCGCCGTTCGACGTCTCGGGGATGTCGCCCTCCTTCTCCGAGTGGCGTGGCTTGCTGCCGCCGGCACCCTCGTCGTCGGACGAGTTGAAGCCATAGCCGCGGGCCATCTCGGCCGTCTCGGCCAGCGTGAGGTGGGGCAGGTCCTCGGCGGCCTTGACGTAGCTGATGTTCTCGTCGTAGCCCTTGGCGAAGATGAGGTCGATCTCCTCGAGGGAGCGGCCGGACGTCTCGGGGTAGAAGAAATAGAGGACGGGCAGGAAGAGCAGGTTGAGGACGGCGAAGAAACTGTCATGACGGGTTCTGTTAGCATACGGTCCGGGCCAAAGCAGCAGAAAAGACGGCGTGCTTGGGTGTGTGAGCTTACAGGTAGGTGCCCCAGCTGATCTTGGAGATGAGGACAGGGGTGATCATGACAATGAAGAAGTTCCACAGCCAGTTCTGAGTGGTGGAGAGGGCGTTGGCGCGCGCACGGGTCTTGAGGGGGTTGATCTCAGCCGGGTACAGCCAGGGGAGAGGCAGCCAGGTCGCGCCAAAGAAGGCAATGTAAATAAAGAGACCAACACCGGCGCCGATCGCAGCGTCAGGCGTGCCAGGGATAAGACAGGCAAAGACGAGAACCATGGACAGCATCTGGCCGACAGTGCCGATAAAGAACAACTTGCGACGTCCGACGCGCTCGACGATCAGGAACGAGGTCATGGCGAAGATGGCATAGACGATCATGTTGACACCGCCGAGAAGCAGGGCCAGGTTGTGAGACGTGTCGAGCGAGTCCTTGAACAGGATGGGGAAGTAGTAGATGACGGCGTTGCAGCCAGACAGCTGCTGCATGAACTGGGAGCCGGCGCCGAGGAGCATACGGCGGAAGTGCTGCGTCTTGCCGTTGGTGAAGACCTCCTTGATGGGGGTGACTCCGCCCAGCTGTCCGGAAGCCCTGATGGCCTCGGTGATGAAGGTCAGCTGCTCCTGGACCTCGTTGTCGTGGCGCGGCCGGTCCTCGAGCGCCGCCAGCACCGTGATGGCCTCGTCCGTCCGCCCGTGCGAGAGGAGCCAGCGAGGGGACTCGGGCAGCCGCGTCATCATGACGAGGATGACAGCGGCGAAGACACACTGGAAGGCAATAGGGAAGCGCCAGACGAAGGGGTGCGGTCCGTACGTGGAGCCATAGTCGATCCAGTAGGCGATCATGGACCCCACGGCGACGTTTCCACCCTCGATGCAGATGAGCTTTCCACGGTTGTGCGGGGGGCAACATTCAGCCTGGTATGTCGGTACAGTCGAGGTGTTGATGCCGTTTCCTATGCCGGTTATGAACCGCCCTACTATAAACTGGGCGGTGGCACCGTGGCTCGGAGGGACAGAAGCAATCTGGATGATGACGCCGATGATCATGACCGTAGCACCGAGAAAGATACACTTGCGGCGACCGAGCTTGTCGCCAAACTGCAGGATGAAGAAGGCACCGACGAAGCAACCGACGGCGTAGATGGCAGTGACGAAGCCCTGCCAGTTGCTGTCACCGTCGACCTGGGGGAAATCGTGAACGAAGGGGTCTGAGTCGATGATACCGGCCATAACACCTTGCTGTTTTCCTCGTGTTAGTCGCTCTTGTTGCTATAGGGCCACGGTTGAATCTGGTATCTGGTACATACGTCGAAACCGAACAACAGGAAGTCGGTTGTTGCCAGGGCTGTGATGTACTTCTGGAGGGTGGCTCCAGACTTGCCCCAGTAGGTGGGCACGCCATGCTCATTGTCCTTGTGTCCCGTGTGGGACATCCTTCTCACCACTTGTGCGACCATTGTGCCTGATTTCGGTGTAAAAACACTCTGCTCAGACAATGATATAAGTGGACAGGGGGAGTAGGAAGCGGAGGGCCGTGGAGGCTTGATGGTCTAGTGTTCCAGTACTGTCAAAGTCCGGGGAGCAAAGGGGGCGGTTTCCTGGGGAATCTGTTTATATATTCATGCGAGGCAACACCACGAGCCCGGCGGTAGCATATTGCCAGTGATGGAGGAGGTAGGAGGTACACATGTACCTCCTGTTGCTGACGCCGGGCAGCTGGCGTTGGCGGCGCCGCCTGAGCATGCAGCATGTCATCATGTGGGAGCAGGATCCATTTCTCCAGAAAAGGATGGAGCCTTACTCGGACAAATAGCTAAAAGATTTCACCCACCAACGTCATGGGTGTCCACTCTGTCGCGGAGGTGGGAGTGGGTTTGGACGAGCAAGAACGTGGAGAAGGGGGCCCAGTTGTGCCAGTGTTTGCTGGAGCCGAACTAGAGTTGGACTGCCAGACTGCGGAGTGATAAGATGAGAGGTGAGATACAGAGATTGGGTTCGCAGCCTTGGCTGGCCGACCCAATGGCGCGTGCGTCCTCACCGCAGGGTCCGCGCAGGGTCCTCGACCGTGGGGCTACCGTGTGTGCCGGTACTGTATGTTTGTGGCAACGGCATGGAGCCAGCAAGGCTGGAGGCACACAATAGGCAGGATAAGGCCCCGAGTAAGCCGGACGGTGCCCGTGGGCGGGAGCGAGAGTGGGTCCTGAAATGCGGACCATGTGTATGGGGGTCCCAAGCGGCAAATGTCCAAAAATCCAAATTTTTACTTTACCCACCCCCTTACCAGCACCCACCCCCCGCCCTATTTTAGCCCAAGCCATATCTACTATAACTCCCTAAAAATTTTAACTTATTTATAATTAAACTTTCCAACCAATTTACTTTATAATATATATATTTTATTATTATTATATTATTTTAAGTATTATAACCTTAACAAGTATATAACTATTATAATACCTATTTAAAATTTTATTATTTTTAACTTTTTTAATTAATTTATTTAAAAGATTTAAAATAATAAAAAAAAATATAATATTATTAAGGATTTTACTATATAAATTATTAATAAGCTTTATTAATATTTATATAATAATATATATACTTAATTAATAAATTTATAAATAATAATAGTAATATTATAATTAATTATTATATTTTCTTATTATTTTTATTATTATATATTAATATTAATTATAGAAAGTTATTTATTTATTTTAATATAAAAGTTTTATTTTAAATATAAAATTATTTAATTATTTTTAAGCAATACTTTTAATAAATTTATATAATAATAATATACCTTTTATAATAATATATTTATTAATAAGTATAACTATTATAATTACTTTAAGTTTATTAGGCCTAATAAAAATATATTCTATTTAAGGAGGCCTAATTAGTAAAGCTTATATAAACTATTATTATAATAACTATAAAATATATATTTTTATATTATTAATAAGTATTATATAGTAATATATTAAAGTATATTTAACTAATAATAATAATATTTAAGCTTAAAAATAACCTAAAATATTATAAAAGAAAAGCCTTTTAAGGATTTAAGAAAAGGACTTTAATAATATATATAATAGTAACTTTAAGGAATAATTAAAGATTATTAAGTAAAAGCTTATTAAGTATAAACCTAAAGTATTATCTACTTTATATAAGGGTATAACTTCCTTATATAAATATAAGGCTTAAAAGTATAATATAAAAGGTAAGAGTATTAAAATAATATAAAAAAAAAAGTTTTAAAAGTATTATAATAGGTAGTATATTAGTATTTAGCGTTTAAAATATTTATAATATCTTTAAAATATAATTAAAATTAAATTAAAATTAAATATTTAAATTAAAGGCTATTTTAATAAATATATAATATATATAATAATAAAGGGTAATAAAATATAAAGTAATTATTAATTAAAAAATTAAATTTTATAATTTATTTTAAAATACTAATATTTAAGTTTAGATATATATATTTTAATATAAAATAGTATATTAAAATATAAAAATATTAAATATAATATAAGTTCTTTATTTTATAATAATATATAAAACTTATTATAAACTTATATTTTAAATAGTAAAATTATAATTTATAATAATAATAATAATATTTTAAACTTTTATTATTAAATAATAAAACTTAATAATAATTTATAATTTAAAATAAACTTTTAAATTTTATTAATAGGATTTTATAAATATAAAATATTTTTAAATTATAAATTATTTTTAATATTTAATATAAAATTTATAATTAATTTTTATTTAATTTTATTTAATATTTTTCAATTTTTTATAAATTAATTTTTTATTAATAATATTTTAAAATAATAAAAAAGTAATTATATTTAAATATTATATATAATTTTAAATTTTATTAATTTAATAATATTATTATAAATAAA